GAAACACTGAAGTACTTTTTTTTTTGGTTCTTATCTATTCCAATTAATGACCCATGATCTGAAATCATATGTGTTCATTTTTACAATAACATTTAAGAAATTGCATTTTTGGAATTGCATAAGGAATTGCACTGAGTTTCATTCACTCACTGAAATGAATAAAGAGCGATATATGGTAAGTGTCTCAATTGGCCCCTTAAAATGAGTATCTTAATTTTACTTTATATATAGCTTTAACTTGTACAGCTATATATGCGACCTTTATTGGTCATTTTCATTTTGATCAAAACGCCGTTATTTTAGAAGTATGACATCATAAAAATCAAGTTTTCCCGCCATTTTAGCATTTTTTGTATAAAACTGCTTATTTTCAAGCAGTTTTTCTTCCAGAAAATATAGAGCGCAGCCTAGAACAAGATTTATATTTTTACCAAAGATGTATCTATCCAATACTGATAAGTGACAGAAAAATTATTCATGTTCTACCCTGCGCTCTATGTTTCCCATAAGAAAAAACATCAAGAAAAAGGCATATTTTTAGGCTTTTTTGTTAGATAGCAAAAATAGCATCATTTCTCATGTCATTTACAGCTAGAGAGTGCATATAAATTTGAAAAATATATTAGAAATATTTCTAATATAATCTCTTCTTCAAAATAAATATCAATTAAACATATCTGAATGTCATTCTAAAATGTTGATTTTTAGGGGGCCAAAATTGGCTCTTACCATATATACTCCTTTCCAATATAATCAATGAAGAATCAATATGAAATTATTGTAAAATTTACAGATTGAATTAGTGAAATGCAAATGCTTGATCTGAAGAAAGTTAATGTTCTTGTCATGCACAATCTGTATCTCTTTTTTATTAATTAGAAAATGAGATATTAATTAAAATCAAACATCAAACCTCATTTAAAAAGGTAACTTGAACAATTGAATACCTGTTTCAATAATGTTACAAATATTAGGCCTAAAAAGCAAGGATTTTATTTTTCATAATTTCTTGAATTAATGCATTTTTATTTTTTGGCAATGTTGGGATATTAGTCACATCCTGACATCCTTGTACCGTTTATTCATCGTTTTTAAAGCCGTAGTCAGTAGATCATTCATAACTTTCAGTAAAATGAATAGTTAAATAATTACCTGATGAAAATACTATCAACAATCAAACTGTCAACATCATCATTGGACATGGTCAAATGCACCGTGACTTTTCTTCCCTGTTCGGACTGCATAATACTTTACAGGATACTCTCAGGTCTTTTCTTTTTTCTTTCCCATTCTCACTTAAAATTTTAGTGTAGTGGTAAAGCGAAAAACACACAACAGCACAATGCGTCAATGACTTTCTTCTGATCGGAATGTCCTTGCAACTTGCCACGTTCCGTATCGAAAATAAACAAGTCCTCCTTTATTGGTTCATCCACATGCATCACGCTAATCTCAAAGGCTTCTAAGTTTCCTATGCTTTGATTTGTTATAAGACTTTCTCCTGAAAACGTCCTTTGTTTTTAGTCCTAACAATAAGTGACAACAAACATCAAGTATGACAGAGGAAATTCGTTACCGAGATGCTTAGCAGCGCTGGTTTAAATTCGCCTGTTTCAAACACTTTGGTGATTCGCTAGAGTTATCTCCCTGTAAACGCAAACCTTACCTTAATTGTTATAAGCAGTGAGCCCTCTACCAAAATTGTGAAATTCATGGTCCCAGGGTTAAGGGTTCTAGTGGTGTTAGGATGGGGCTATATAGATCATATAGTGAAATTGCATTACTTCTTTGAAAATCTTCTCCTCTAATCCTAGTTACATGTATTAATAATTAAACTAAGTATATAGTTATGATGAACAAGAGTACTTCTTCTAAAATTGTAAAATTCATGGTCCCTGGGTCAGGGGTTCTGGTGTAAGGGGGGCTCTATTGATTATATCTAAGTGTTAATACATTAAATCTTTGAAAATCTTCTCTACTCCTGGGTAATAAACAAAGTAAGTAAGTACATAGTTATGATGAGCAAGAGTGTCTCTTCAAAAATTGTGAATTTCATGGCTCAAGGGTCATGTCTTTTTGAGTTTTTTGTCATATGTGGCCCCAGGGTCAGAGGTTCCTGTGTGCACAACTGTTATAAAGTGGAAATGCATTTTCTCTTTGTTAGTCTGATCTACCTCTGGGTATTAAGTAACCAAAGTAAGCATAGTACATGTAAGTGTATACTAATGGTTATGATAAGCAATGGTTCCTCGTTCAAAATTGTTAATATAATGACCTCTGGTTTAAAACACAAAACAAATTCAATTGTTGGAAAGTTGTTGCATGATACTCAGGTGACCCGTGGTTTTCTTGTTTAAAAAATACTGTGAAATCACTTATTTTCATGGGAGGTTAATTTTCGTGGTTTTCCTTACGAATATATGTCCACCACGAAATGCAATTTTACACTTATATTACTTAAGAACAATTCTTCAACCACGAAATCAAATCCCCATGAACCAATATATTTTTCTCAAACCACGAAAATTGGACCCCTTGAAAATATGTGATTTTACAGTACAGCATTTTAGTAGTGTTTTCCCACATTTCTTATTTCTTTTCAGTTAAACTTTTTTCCTACTGACACCCCCCCCCCATTTTCAAAATAAAATTTATTTTATAAGAAAATAAAAAAAGAAACACATAATCATGACAATGACTAAGAAGCTTTAATGAATACCCAAGATTCATTACGGGGTTTGACCTTGTAAGGTTTGATTCGAAGACTAGATTGTTTATCATAGCATCTTTAATCGGATGATGCCCGACGTCTTAACCAAGTGATAATACGTTTGATACATCGAACTGATGGTTTCAGAAACGAGTTACTGTAAAGGATCAATGTCTTTGAAAAATATTTGGTCTTTAAAATTGAAATTATGCGTATTTTCAAGCGACATAAAGGGATTTCATATTCGTTTTATTTGATTTTGAAATAAACGAGTCATAGTAAACGATCAATGTCTTGGTGGAATATTTGATCTTAAAAGAGGCACTAAGAAATTCCAGGTGTTTTATATTTCAAGATAAATAATTGGATTAAGAATCCTAAGAATTTTAAATTGATGAGAATGACATTAATGTCAAATGCATGAGTAGTGTTTAAAAGGTACTTGGTTTTGTTCTTTGTTTTATTTTTTATCTTCTTTATTATCATAGTATCTTTTCCATTTCAATATGGAGATTGACAAGGTTTTTTTTAAAATAGTGAAACGCCCACATATTTGAATGCAAGTAATATAATGCTTGTATCATCACTAGATAACCACCCCATACTAAGCAAACACAAACTTGAATAAAGATCACCAGCGCCTTATTACAAAACAAAGTTTATATTACATATCCTTAAAGTGAAATTCAAATGAAAAACTTACCTCTTTAATCTAAATTTAAGACTGAGAAATGAAATAAATTGTCACCAAATTCATTCGTTTTAAAGGACATATATACCGGTATTTAGTTCAGCTGAGTCACTCAGGTGACCTAGTGCTATCTGTTTTTGTCCGTCGTCGTGCGCCGTCCGTCGAGCGCCGTGCGTTAACATTTAATCATTTTCAACTTCTTCTCTGGAACAACTCAACGAATTTTATTCAGTGTAGCATCTATGGGTGAAAGGGAACAAAAATTGTGAATTTCATAGTCCCTGCCCTTTTTGGGCCTGAGGAATGGGGCGAAAGCCGCTAAAATTTAATGCAAATTAAAGAAAATCTTCTACTTTACTCATCAGGCATCAGGCAGTCAAACTGTTGGCAACTGTTGGCAGGATTGTAATAAGCATTAAGTTTTTTACCAAAATTATGAAATTCATGGCCTCAGGGTCAGAGGTTCTGGTGCTAGAGCGGAGCTATATATAGATTATATATAGTGAAAGTGTATTATTTCGTTGAAAATCTTCTTCGCTGCTTCTTGAAATTAAACAAATAAACTTTAAACATAGTTATGATAAGCAAGGTCAATTCTTCCAAAATTGTGAATTTCATGATTTCATGACCCCAGGATTAGGGGGTTCTGGTGTTAAGGCGGGGTCCGTTTTTTATATAGTGAAAATGCATTAATTCTTTTAAAATCTTCTTCTCTGCTCCAGGGTTTTAAAAATACTAACTACCTACATAGTTATGACGAGCAAGGGTCCTTTTTCTGAAATTGTGTATTTAATGGGGCCAGGGTCAGTGGTTCTGGTGTTAGGGTGGGGCGCTATTGATTATATAGAGTAAATGCATTAATTCTTTGAAAATCTTCTCATCTGCTACTGGGTACTAAAAACTAACTACGTACATGTACATAGTTGTGATGAGCAAAAACGTAAATTTCATGGCCCCAAGGTCAGAGGTTCTGGTGTTAGGGTGGGGCTCTATTGATTATATAATGAAAATGCATTATTTCTTTGAAAATCTCTTCTCCTCTGCTTCTGGGTATTACGCAGATGAACTATCAACATATATACTTTATGACGAGAAAGGGTGTCTCGTCCAGATTGTGAATTTCAAAGCCCCTGGGACAGGGGCACCGTAGTGGGGCTCTAATGATAATCTATTTTAAAATTTATGCTTTGAAATCTGCTCTTTGGTTTTAATCAAACATTTGTGGTGAGCAAAGGTGCCTTTTTTAAAATTCTGAAATGTGTGGCCCCAGGATCAGGGGTTACTGTGGTGTGGGTAACTATCGACTATTGCTTATTACTACTGATTAGTTGAAATGCATTTTTTTTGTTCACGTACTCTGCCTATGGGTATTAAGAAACCAAACTAAGCATGATAAGTGTATATAATTATGATGAGCAATTGTGCCTCTTTCAAAATTGTGAATGTCATCATGGCCTTTGGATTAAAGCACTTTAATTGTTGGAAACTTGTTACATGATGCTCAGGTGACCTAAAGGGCTCATGGGCCTCTTGTTATTTCAAGCACTAACTTTCATAAAAGAAAACAAAACACGATAAACTCTTTTAGATAAACATTTATTATCGAAGTGAGACATGATCCATAGGAGATCTATTTGGACTTTTGCAGTATAGATATCTCAGACAAAGTCTCTTAAATGTAGATCGAAATTTACTGCTCATTATACAATACAAGGCAAAATTAATCACACAGTTAAGTAAAGCAATAGCATCAAAGAAGTCTCCTAGCGGAATGTACACGTTTTCGTACAAACCGGAGATAAAGACGCACATCAAAACCAGTGTTCCTTGAGGGAGTTCTGTGATCAAAAAGAGAGCAACGATGGCGTACAGAAGCTTGTTGGTTCTCCCGATCATGACCGACCTTTTATTTGATGCAAACGAAAATTGCCTGCTTCTTTTCAGTAAAGAGTGTACCAGCGCCCCAACAAACATTGACATTAGTATACAGGGAAGTAGCTTCCCAACGATGGCATACAACAAGACGTTAGTGTCCACAATGTTACGAGAACCGCTGTTGGCAAGCATAGGAGCATTTATGATGTAGATAGTCTCATTGTTGGCTAAAGTATATTCCTCGAAGTTGTTAGTGAGAGAATTTGGTAGCGATGAAGCAACGGAGATCAGAAGAGCAATAGAAACTACTGCAACAGTCTGTATGTTGCGCGTGGCACGTGGGATATGATGTCTGTTCCTGGTCTGGATAAACCGATAAACAGTTAAGGAAACTCCAAGCCAGACACTGGCATTATGAGAGGCTAGGGTTATCTTGGACGCTATGAGACTGTAAGCAACTCTGTTGTACGAAAAATACTGGGAGATTGGCATATCTGTGTAAGTTATATGGAAGAGAAGAACCTGTGGAATGTACATTAACATGGTAATATTGTCGCTAACTGCAATTAGAGTTAGGATAAAATTATTTGAAGAACGCAACTCTTTCATATTTAAAACGAAAATATTCACTATGTTCGCAAAAATGCCGAAGATGCATATCACTAAACTAATATAACCATGGAATTTAGTATATCCATTAGCAATGATCAAGAGCCACTTTTGTTCTGTAACGTCAATATCCAACCTGTCATATTCACTGTAATTGTAATATCCAACTCCTGCCGGGTAAAACATGAAGTCAGACGCGTTTTCTATTGTTTGCCCTTGCATGCTGTCGGAAGATTGGAGAAGTTCTGCCTCTGATATCCTCTACAAGCTTCTATTTATAATGCTTCTTCTAGTTACAGCCTAGTTTTAAAGGTAATCCCTTGTTAATTGATTGACAGATGATGCCGTATTTAGTATACTTGATAAATGTTAACAACTTGTGTGAAAAAACTGTCTCAAGTTTCTACTTGGAACTAAACAAGTGATTCCTATTCATAGAGAACTGATGTAAAAAGATTGTTTCTGTCAATTATATTTTTTCTTACAGAATGAATTCTTTGATGTAAATGTTTTTCCTTCGTTTTTTTTTTTTTTTTTTTAATTTTTTTCCCTGAATTAATAATCCATTGTTTGAATACTGAAAAAAAGAAACATAATAACTCACGAACATCAAAATAGACTGTCTTCAAAGGTACACAACAAAAATATCATCAGACTAAATAAAGAAGTTAAAAGGATTGTTAAACACTTGAATAAGAGTCTGTTAAGATATATTATTCCCCAGCTTTTAAAGAAGTTTGGCCAGGAACTCATATTTTGAAATTATCATTTACAAATATAACATGCCCAAAAAAGAACGGTTTAGTCAGAAAATTTCATGGAATATGTATTAAAATATCATCAATGTACATTGGCTTTGCTTTTCTTCTAAGCCAACTATGAAATTGATTTGAATACCAGTGTATACTCATGCACAGATATATATACGGATAATTTCGCGCCGAGGTGACGAAAAATGGGGATACAGCGACGTTTGTAGAAATGCAAGGATATAGGGTTGCGAAAATTCAAATATTGAGTACATTTTTTTTGCTTTCAAACATGTGAAATGTATATATAACGAATGTTTTTAAGTTTAATGTGAATTATTGGTGTGTAAATCACACAGACTTGCACGTGGGCATATTTTTCATGAAGCACTAGCGCTATCGTACCCATATAGAAGGGAGAGATCTCTTTAGTTTCAAATGGGCATACCTTTTTGTGCATCCTTATCTACGTATGCTATATGCTAAAGGTGGTGAAATTGGTAGAGTGGTTTAGGAGAAAAGGCTGAAAATGTTGAACATTTACCGACGACATACAAAAATTGGTCGCAATATGCAAGATCTCTTTAGTCTGGGTAAGATACATGTAGCTATACCTCTCAGATAATTTTGTTTCATTTTTAATTCTATATATACTGACCCCATGCAATACCATTAGAAACAGCCAATATGCGGTTCACCATATACACTTAAAAGCCCAGGACTAATGACTCCTTGGTCAAAAAATATGTTGACCTATCTTTACATAGGTCTGGCTCATGAATGTCTTTTGGATAAGTATTTTTGTGCTATTTGATACTTTTAGAAATAGGAAAAATATTAGCTCAAGCTTTGACGGACAAACCTATTTATTATTAAGGCAAAATTTGACCCATTTTGGGTGGATGTAAAATCAATTTTTTGCAGTTGAAACTTTAATTGTTACTTGTTTCAAACCAGTGATAAATTCAATTCAAAGAGTACACGTAGGCCACATAAAAAAACCTTGGTATTTTACCCAATTTCCTCACTTCTGATGGAATTTTGTAAAATTTGAGAAGCACTGTATGTTAACTTTGGAAAACACAGAGAACAATTTTGATTAAACACAAGCTTGCCTATCTGAGATTTTTATACAACAACCCAAGTTTGCGCTCAATATTTTCTGAACATAATGCACTGTAAATTGAAGTAAAATCGGGGGGAAAAAATCGACATATTCTGTTACTGTCCCGTGATCCGTGACCTTTGTGTATTCCAGAACTTAGACTCAGTATTCAATTTGGATGAGGGAAAATTAATGATGTGCTATAATTGCAGTGCTCCTATAGACATTACAAATCAGGGAGCTAAAAGAGGTCTTAGTGTATATTATTTTTTCTAAGCTTTATTTCTAAAATTTTGTAATTTTAATAGCCCTTAATTGCGGTTTTGAATTGTCATCATTCATAATTAAATGCAGCAAATCATTTTTTTTTATCAGCACCGTCATTGTAACACCCCATCCTATTTTCAAAAAAGAAAAAAATAAATCTTATGGTTAAAAATAAAATAATTTTCTGAAGTATGAACAATTTAAAGCATTAATTTTGTAATATGGAGACGTACAATGTACTAATAATCATACGTGTTAATAAATCAGGATAAAAAGTATATGTGCAATCCTGAAAAAAATATATCTACTGTAGACTAACTATATGAGGATCTTATTTACCTTTATGTTATATTGTAAGTAAAAATAAAATATTGGCGTAGAACTTATTTTCTTATTAGGACATACGAGACGTGTATACTTTAACAAGGAAATTAAAACGAGAACTGAAGAACACATATGTGAAAAATGCTTTTTTTTTTTTTTAAGATATTGGCGTAGATTTTTTTAGATATTGGCGTAAAACTTATTTTCATATTAGGGCATACGAGACGTGCATAAGTAAAACGAGAACTGAAGAACACATGCTAGTATGTGAAAACTGCGAATTTACTGTATAGTTTAAAATTAATAACCTGTGTAGCCTTTTTTAAATACAGACATTACTTTTTGGGGGGAAGGGGGTGGGGGGTAAAATACAAGGCTCAGATGTTCAGAGAATGATAAACGAAGTTGTTGCAATCTGCTAATAAAATACCTTCTGAATGATGTTTTAGAAAATCTGTATTATAAAATGATGTCTTTTTAAAACATAACTTAACTAGGCTTTTTGGTGTCATTGACAGCTGCTTTTTCGATAAAAATGCAACTCGTAAATTTACTGACCTTGTCATTGGTCATTTGCAAAATTATTTTGTCAAAAACATTCTGATTGTACACACAAGAACTCTGAAGTTTACATTAAAAAGATGCTTGAGTTTCTGATCTAATACTATGTTGTTTTTGGAGACCAGGTCGTCCAACAATCTTTTTGAATTCCCATGGGTTCCAATTACACCCCGTTATTAGAAGACCTATTTTTGTATTAATAAGAAGCGAAGTTTGTGCAAAATCTTGTGCATGTAAAGAAGAAAACACTTGCTGTGGCCTTCAACTCGACATTTAGATATATCGACGTCGTATTGTCATATAGCAATTGTAATTTCCATTCTTGTGTCGACACGATATATCCTTGTGAGCTTGAGATAAAAGATACCACATAGTCTGACACATCTGTTTCATATTTGGATATCTTACTTGAAAAAAGATGTTAATGGTAATCTAACAACCAAGCTCTATGATAAACATGATAACTTTAACTTTTCTATCATCAACTTCCCTTACTTATGCAGCAATATACCTTCATCACCTGCATACGCAGTTTATGTATCTCAGTTGATTCGATACGCAAGAGCATGCTCTACGTATGAACAATTTCTAAAACGAGGTAAAAGATTGACAAACAAGTTGATGAAACAAGCATATCAACAGTCTCGTTTAAAGTCATCATTTCGTAAGTTCTGTGATACAATGACCTTGTCAGCAAATACAATTTATCATTGAGTCAAATGCTGAGTGACGTTTATCATACTAATTGTTAGTCCATTATTTATAAACTGAATTGACGACGGATTTTCCGTTATTTCCCGATCATGACAAGGAGCACACGGCGGATGTGACCGGTCGGCAAGGAATGCTCACTCCTCCATGTCACCAGATCCCACTTCTGATGTTCTGGACGTCCTTGTTTGCTCTGCTCCTGTTTTGTATTGTTTTATGGCCTTTTGATCTTGAATACTGTTCGTTATCTCCATATGTTTCATTAATTTTCGAGCCTCATTTGAGACTTTTTTAATTAAATTATAAATTGAAAAATTACCCTCCGCGGCTGAGGATCGGAGTATCTTAATAATAACATGTAAACTAGTGGACTATTTCATAGAATTTGACTTTTTAGCTCACATGAGCTGAAAGCTCAAGTGAGATTTTCTGATCACCCATTGTCTGTAGTCCGTCCGTCCGTCTGTAATGTTTTCACATTTTCAACTTATTCTCAAGAACCACTTTATCAATTTTAGCCAAACTTGGTACAAAGCATTCTTATGAGAAGGGCAATTCAAATTGTTAAAATAAAGGTCCAAATTAAATCCCCTTCCAAGGGGAGACAATCAAGAATATACAAAAATAGGGTGGAGTCATTACAAAATCATATTCTTCTCAAGAACCACTGGGCCAGAAAAGCTGAAACTTAGTTGGAAACATCCTGGGCTACTGTAGATTCTAAATTGTTCAAATCATGACCCCAGGGTTAGGGCGGGGCCACAATAGGGAATTAAAGTTTTACATAGATATATATAGGAAAAACTTTTTTGAAAAATCATCTTCTCAAGAACCACTTGGCCAGAAAAGCTGAAACTTATGTGGAAGCATCATGGGGTAGTGTAGAATCCAAAATGTTCAAATCACGACCCCTGAGGGTAGGGCGGGACCACAATAGTGATCCCAGTTTAGCATAGCATCCTAAGGTAATTTAAAATCTAAATTGATCGAATCTTGAATCTTTGGGATTGGGCAAGGTCAAGATAGGTATTACAAAGGGGGAAATTTGTTAAATAACAGAATAACCAAAGTTACTCAGGTGAGCGATATGACTCATGGGTCTCTTGTTGAAAATAAGAATGGTTTATATGTTCTTTGGATCTTACCATACTGTAGAAGTACTTTTTTTCCGCGAGGTATTTATTTTCGCAATGTACGCGGCCACAAATTCTCCGCGGAAATTTGCACCACCATACTCAACATTCTTGTAAGGAATATAGTGAGAGTTTAATAAATCAGCGTAGTTTTCTACTAGCGGACAAAAGAGAAATAGAGATTCCGTGGAATTATGACCCCTTGGAAAAAGTATGTCTATGGTAGTATCAAGTTTGATGAATATCATTATATATAGCAAATAATATCATCATTTTCTTATGTGCAAAATAGAGTAATAATTAACACATAATCGTCGACCTCGATTCTAGGGATGAACAAGTACTAAAGGTTACCGGTGCAGAGGTGATGTACAAGATCTTTCTTCGTATCTGTGACCACAAACTTCAACAACTTCAACCAGATGTCAAATTCACGAAACATCAGATACAAAACAAGATGTGTTTGTAAAACACTATGCGCCCGGCGGCGACAAAATTTGTAAAAGCTTTTTTTTAGCATATATGTAAGTCAAAATCATAAGGTCATTGACCTTGGTGTCATTTGAAAGAACTTTAAAATCAGTGAAATATGCATATTAAATATGAAGTCTCTACCTCCCATGGTTCAAAAATAATGGCAAAAGTTTGAAAACGCTATTTTTAGCATATAGGTTATATTGAAGGTCACAAGGTTAATAACCTTGGTGTCATTTGAAAGAGCTTAATTAGTGGAGTATGTATACTAAATATGAAGTCTTTATCTCTCACGGTTCAAAAGTTATGGCGAAAGTTAAAGTTGACAACAGACAAACAGACAGATAGGACAAAAACAATATACGCCCCAAATCTATCGATTCGGGCGCATAAAAATAATATTAATTCAACTGCTAATTTTAATTACTTCTACATGTTCTATGGATGTAAAAAAAAAAAATACAGCCAATCATTAATACTCTCAAGCGAAAGCTAGAAAAGAACGCTAAGATTGGTATAACTGTATTCAATGTACATGCCATACATTTCTGGCAGTGCTGTAATGTAATTGTTTGTTTGTATGTCACACTACATGCACTTGTACATTAATTAACAGCCATATTTTGTTAACTTTGATTTTGGTAGTATTATTACATGCGAACTTAATTTGCCCTATGAAGCTGAAATACAATTTCTAAAAGAAATCACCAAAACATTCTAAAATGGATCTAAAGCTTAAGGTAGGATTCTTGTCTGGTTTCCGACTAGATAGAACATTCAAAGTATATTTGCTTATATGCATTCTATATACTCAACAAAAAAGAAACACATATTCAGATCAAACATGATAATCTAAGTTTTCAGTTTAGACCTTATTTTTTAAAAGTGATTTTAAGAGCGTGTCATAATAAAAATTAAATATGCCCTATGTCATGTATGTTGCGAATCGAAAAATTAAGTTGATGTCATTGTCGTCGCCTCCAAATTCTAGGGGCAAACCGTTTTAACCAATCCGTATGTCCTTTGAGATGTCTCAGCGCTAGTGGATTTCCAATGTACGGACATCATGCATGAATACCAGCTCCTCTCTACGAAAGCCCAGAAGGCTCATTCGAGATTCAAGTTTCGAAATACGAGATTCAAAATTCGAGATTCGAAATTAGTTTATATTCAAGTCCAAGGTTAACCAATCAAAAGGCCATTCGAGATTCGAGTTTCGAAATACGAGATTCGAAATTCGAGTTTCGAGATTCAAAATTCAGATTAACTAATCAAATACGGGTTCAACATTGATTACTTCCCTTTATTATGTTTTATCTATCAATAAATCGTTTAATATATTTATAACAAATGAATCATTTGATTAAATTACAATACAAGAAAGAGTGTTATATATATTAGAAGGAAAGTTAAATAATCATTTAATTTTTGATCAGCAAGATATACTTCAATTTATATTATGACTTCTTAAATATTAAATAGAATACATATATCAGGAATATATATATTTTTGCATTGTCTACTGTATATAAAGGGTTGCTGACATAATAATACAGTTATAAATAGTGTATAAAGATTAACAAAATCCCCACCCCTACCGGCAACACCTGCCAATTTTTCCCTGACACTGAAAATGTTACTTTAAAACTTTGAAAGGCAATGTAGCCTTGATAAATAAAAACCGCGCTCGTTTTCCTAATAGAGGGAATACATTAAAATAAAGTTTTCAATTACTTATGTTCATCTAAGGCTTTGCTTTCTTGAACTAATTAACAATTATATATACAATACAGATTGCAAATATGAATTAGAATAAATGCAGCATTCATTTTATCTGATATCAAACAGTAATTAGTCTAAATAATAGCGTTATGGTCAAAGGCTAAAAATATGGTTTTTATTTATCAAGGCTACAAGGATTTTGTTAATCTTTAGTCACTATTTATAACTTTATTATTATGTCAACAATCCTTTATATATAGTAGACAATGCAAAAATATATATATTCCTGATTATGTATTCTATTTAATATTTAAGAAGTCATAATATAAATTAAAGTATATCTTGCTGATCAAAAATCAAATGATTGTTTAACTTTCTTTCTAATATATATAACACTCTTTCTTATTGTAATTTATTCAAATGACTCATTTGCTATAAATATATTAAACGATTTATTGATAGATTAAACATAATAAAGGGGAGTAATCGAAAAACCCGCATTTGATTGGTTAATCTGGATTTTGAATCCAAATTCGAATTTCAAACCGTTTTAACCAATCTCGAATGAGCCTTTTGATTGGTTAATCTGGATCTTGCTAGTGGAATTTCGAATCTCGAATTTTGAATCTCGTATTTCGAAACTTGAATCTCGAATGAGCCTTCAGCTCCTCTCAGTCCTTTCAGAAGAATTTGTGCACTTTTATGCCGATTTCTTCATCCAGCAATTGTAGCAGCAGTTTATACAGCAGTTCTAAATCGTTTGCGCAGGTGCTGAAGGGAAGTGGGTGGGGGGTCTGACATCCCTGTCCGGGTGTGGTAACCCGCAGACAGCCACATCTATGTTCCTAGCTGCTGGAGACGTGCGCTTAACCGCTGCAAAGCCGATTGATGTACACCAAATGCAGTTGTATCTTCCTGCTGCGTAGCTCCGGCTAGCCCAGTTGCGTTCATCTTTGTTTAGACGTGGCATTGCAGCATCAACATTGCAATCAAATCTAAGTTATGGGTTTAATAGGAATGTTAATTGCTTCTCTAAATCCAAAATATCAATGAAAATAGACCCACGGTTAACAAGATATCATGTAAAAAACTATGATTTTCATAAACACGATTAATCAAGGGAAATAATTAAACACTTGGGTTTTAAAAGCCCATGTTGTCCTTTAAATAAGTCACAGGTATCCAATGATAAAAAAATAATTGTTTCATATACTTTTTCAAAATTTCTTTGATGAGTAAAACAACATGCGTTTCTTTTTTGTTGAGTATATTTAGATGTAAGAGACTTAAACATGTTAAAAGATCATATATTTCTTTCCTCATCACAATTAAACAACTTTAAACAGAAATGGTAAAGTTTGAAATCTAACAGGAACTATATTTTTGGAGGAACGCATGGTGTCGAATGAAAATATCTTCTTTAATGATCCTAAAACAATGAGTTTAGTAATAATTATGTACAATCAAACGCTTGAATAATTGTATATTAAATTAGTTATAAAGGACTTAAGTTTTAAAATATATCAGATAAATATGATTTTCCAAACTAAATACAAGTATGTTAGTTTTAAAAGCTTCTAATCTAAGTACAAATTTGGGCCAAAAATCAAGAGTAAAAAGTTAAATTTTCTCTCTTTGTAAATGATCAAAACTTTTTGTTTTTATGTCATTTTGTAACTTTTTGTGACAAATTTACCATATGTGTAAACAAGAAAAATTTGAATATAGGAAGCATATAAAAATAACTTAGATGTACTCGGTACTAAAATAAAAGAAAAATAGAGAAAATTCGGATAAGCTTAAAATTGTAGTTTGATTAATTACGTCAATTTGATCATACCTTCTTAAAGACCCTATATTGTAATATCTCTCCATGCAAAAAGAAATAAAAACATTTTATATTTTGAAATAGAAGTAGGCATTGCATGATTGTCAACAATATTTTTATGCGCTCGGATCAAGGCGTATATTTTTTGTCCTGTCTGTCTGTCTGTTGTCAACTTTAACCTTCGCCATAACTTTTAAACCATTAAAGATAGAGACTGTATTTGGTATGCGTACTCCACAAGTCAAGCTCTTTCAAACGACACAAAGGTCATTAACCTTGTGACCTTGACTGTGACTACATGTATATGCTAAAAATAGCTTTTTCGAACTTTCGCCATAACTTTTGCACCATTAAAGATAAAGACTTCATTTGCATACTCCACTAATCAAGCTCTTTATAATGACACAGAGGTCAATGACCTTGTGACCTTGACTGTGACCTATATGCTAAAAATAGATTTTTCGAATTTTGTTGCCGCCGTGCGCATAATGTTTTACAAACACATCTTGTTTTTATTCTTAATGTCCAGGGAAAAGGTAAATACCTTCACGTGACCTTGCCTTCATTATAAAACCGTCAAATCTAATCTAACTTTTTTCATCACTTAGTGATATTGTCTTCTTGATTCTCTGAAAATTGCATTAATTTTTGAATACTTATTAAGTACAAGAAATATGAAAGAATCCTAACTTAAGAAGCCAGAAAAAAAATAAAAATGATATTTCAGATATTGCCATTTTTATTAATCACGATAACACCCTTACTTGTACTTGACAATCAATTCAAAGTCAATTTTATTTAAATATATTATTCTTTTGTATCAGAAGTCATTGAAATTAGAATATATTGTTTTACTTGTAACTAGAGACGAACCATGTTAATATATAAGTGAAACATATCGAGATACATGTAACGAACAGTATTCAATATCAAAAGTCCATAAAACAATACAAAACAGGAACAGAGCAAACACGGACTTCCAAATCATCAGAGGTGGGATCAGGTACCATGGACAAGTGAGCATACGTTAATAAATCAATTAATTCTTTGTATAACATCATCTTTAGAGACATCAAGTCTTTTTTGGAAAATATATTCTTACCATTAGGGAATAGCATTTTAATTTATTGTATTACTCGAGGAACGCCAAGAACACTAAGCATTATGAATATCTTACATGTATGTCATCATGTCTCAAGTGCGATAATGTACTGATTGAGAATGCTATCACGAAGCGGCATTCGGCAGATTTACCTTAATCTTATCTAGACCAGTGTTAAGAGTACATTTAAGTGGATTCACAGGGGGAAATATGGAAACAATACATTCGTGCTTTCTTTTATTTATCTCGACAGTTGGTATGTTATTGATTAGAACTACTCATTTTGACTGAATTAGTACTTAGTTTTCCTTACTGGATGTAAGGTTAATGATTAGAAAATAAAGGATGGCTTTTTTAAAAAAAATAATTAAGCAGTAGAAATATTTATAAATTTTTTATGACTTCAAAGTTAAATGTATACATGTATACACATTAGCTTATATGCACTCATTCGCACAATGAATCTTATTTTGTGTATCTGCGTAGATATCTTCAATTCTTGTACAATGTATAGGGAGACATCATTTTAAAAGCTGCTCATGTAGTGAGGAATCAAGCTTGTTTAATACATTTTCCTGTAGGGTTAGGTTAAGAACATAATCTATCCCTACATAGTAGAGCAGCTGTACATAGAAAAATTCTGTAAACGTTGTACATATACATGTGAAGGTTGAATAACAAGTAATTAAGACCCTTGATTAACGCATTTAACATTATGATCGCAGTAAGGAGTTTCATTTATTATCATCTTTACAACTTGATAATTTTACGCCTTCGATATTTTTACAAATTATCACTTGAGGAAACTTTAATCATATATCATATAAGTTTAGGAACAAAAGGAATGTTTTTCCTACGTTGTAATAAAATAATAAGACATACAATGAAGCGCATTGAAGTGGTAAAATTTTCCGTTTGGATGAAACGTTCTGAGTCATGTTTTGAACGTCAATTACAACATAATGACACGCCCATATTTTTAGAAACGAGAAAGAAATATTCGTCGTAATGTTTAACACGGCGGAGAATCTACGTCATCGACGGGATTAGGACACACAAAAATGGAGGACAAATGCTCCGCTTCGATGTAAGAAGTTGATATTTTTGCACTTATAAAGAATGAATATTAAATCATCCTGCCTAAAGTATGCCAAAGAACGTCAACTACAATAGACAATGTACGTTTGCTCGTGATAGAATCTTATTGTTCCAAACACTTCGACACAGTTTGAAAACAAGTGAGAAAAAAACGGGATGTGGGGTACACATTTTTAAAATTCGACCAATTATTCGCATGTCCAGATGTACTAGACATTTTATTCTTCCGCGTTTACACTAGAACTAATATTTTTTAAAAATCCTGATTTTTTAAATAGTATATTATGCTTTAATTATCCAAGAAAAAAGTATTAATCATTTTGTTTTCAGAAATGATGTAGGGCACACCAACACTAAAACGGATATGGGACACACAATAAGTTACTTTCAAATTGAAACATCGAGCATTCATATCTTAAAGTTTCCATTAAAATGACTGCCATTTGATAGTATATGAACAATAACCTGTACAATATATCATAAATACGATTCCCTTGGTTTTTGTATCCATACAAAAATTATAAGTTGAAAACGCTGGATATCCTCAACAAAAGCTTCCAACATGAATTTTAAATTTTGACTTTTATCAAATTTCATTAGAAATTTACGGTGTTCATTTTTTCCATAGAAAGAGGGGGAGGGTCGAAGTCCGGAGATTGTGTTTATTTTATGATATTTATATTTAAAATTACACGACATCCGCCCCCCCCTCTCTCTCGAAAAAAAAACCCCCAAAAAAACCACACACCTGTACAAACTCACGAAATAAGTTTGTTTTTTTTTTTTAGCTTTGTTGCTTACTTTTCTGCTTGTCAAAATAGTTTGGAGTCAGAAAATTCTTTAATTGGAATTCCCTTGGTTTGCTCGTATCCATACAAAAATTCAAATATTATAAGTTGAAATGGCCGGTCTGATCCTCAACAAAAGCTCATTAGCTGCCAAAATGAATTTTAATTTTTGACTTTTATTAAATATCATATTGAAAAATACTAGTATTTACATGTGCGGATCTAAAAGGAGGGTTGAAGTCCGGAGTCTATGTATATGATTTTAAGTACTCTACGATATTTTTGTGTTAAGTAACACGACCCAGAACCCAATTAAACACACATAAAATAGCTTTTTGAGGTTGATTGTTTAATTTCTTTGCTTGTAAAAATGTTTTGGTGTCAGAACTTCTTTTTATAGTTTGTGTGGCGAAAAGTTTCTGTATTTGCATATTCAGTGTTTGTTTTTATTAGATCTTTGTCGGTAAGACTCTAGTATGTCAGCTGATAGGAAGCGGAGATTAGGGAATTTTTCTTATGCTCAAATATTTGCAACAGCTGACAAACTTCTTTCAAAATTCTAATAGTTAATTACCGACTCCATATATTTGAGAAAAAAAGACAAAATTGAATATTGTACTTCGAAGTTAAAATCATCGTATTAATTAAAAAAAAATTATTGTTTTATTATACATGTGTCTTTCCTGATATACTTTATTTTATCAAATAAAATATACAACATGACTATATTAAGATATTCATGTTGTATATTTTATTTGATAAAATAAAGTATATCAGGAAAGACACATGTATGAATCAGTGATTAAATATTACGTACTCATAAAGCAGTTCATGTCATCTTATTTACATTCGCTGGAATATTAGCCAAAAGCAATGATAGGAGCAGGCTTAAATAAACATTCCCAGCAGTATAAATTGGGATTTTTGTTGTTGCAAAAAGTACTTTAGTAGCTTTACATAAAAAAGAAATAATGTCAAGCTCTTTTATATGATAAGTTTTGAAGGGGGGGGGGGTCATTATCAGAGAAAAATGACAGCTAAAAATCTTTGATTGGCACCCACGAAAAGACAATTTTTAACTTCAATTTTTGTTTTGGCCCTGCCCATCACTGGCAACCACTTTCATACATTCGATTACTAATATTATGTTCACCTGAGTGCAAGCTAGGAGCAAATAAAATATATAGCTTTCCAAAACTATTTGTTGCAATTTGGAATTTCCCGATCTATTTTTAGACCACTGTGTAGGGAAAATAAATTCTTATTATCACCTGGAAGGTCAGTTGTTGCAAATATTTGCACATAAGAAAAGTTCTTGATCTCTTTCCCATATTAAAAGACATGCTAGTGTATAGATCTTATTAATACCAATTTGCAGATTTAAGAACTTTTTCGGGGGGGGGGGGAGTCCACACAAAGTCCAAAGAATTTTCTGACTCCAAACTATTTTGACAAGCAATAAAGTAAGCAACAAAGCTAAAAAAAAAATTTTTCGTGCGTTTGTATGTGTGTGTGTGTTTTTCGTGTTTTTTTCGGCCGGGGTGGGGGGGGGGGGGGGTGTAGGTTAAAATAGATATATCATAAAATAAACACAATTCTTACCCCATATGGATCTGCAGAAGTGAACACCGGTATACATGAAATTTAATAAAAGTCAAAATTTAAAATTCATGTTGGAAGCTTTTGTTGAGGATCAGACCAGCGTTTTCAACTTATAATTTTTGTATGGATACAAGCAAACCAAGGGAATCATGTATTTGGATGAGTATTACAAAGATGAGTTGTACAGGTTATTGTTCATATACTATCAAACGGCAGTCATTTTAATGGAAACTTTAAGATATGAATGCTCGATGTTTCAATTTGAAAGTAACTTATTGTGTGTCCCATATCCGTTTTAGTGTTGGTGTGCCCTACATCATTTCTGAAAACAATATGATTAATACTTTTTTCTTGGATAATTAAAGCATAATAAACTATTTAAAAAATCAGGATTTTTAAAAAATATTAGTTCTAGTGTAAACGTGGAAGAATAAAATGTCTAGTACATCTGGACATGCGAATAATTTCGAATTTTAAAAATGTGTACCCCACATCCCGGTTTTTTCTCACTTGTTTTCAAACTGTGTCGAAGTGTTTGGAACAATAAGATTTATCACGAGCAAACGTACATTGTCTGTTGTAGTTGACGTTCTTTGGCATACTTTAGGCAGGATACTGATTTAATATTCATTCTTTATAAGTGCAAAAATATCAACTTCTTACATCGAAGCGGAGCATTTGTCCTCCATTTTTGTGTGTCATAATCCCGTCCGATGACGTAGATTCTCCGCCGTGTTTAAGGACACCCCATTCTTCGCGACAAGCAAGATGAGTTACACTGAAAAGGAGCATTAAAAAAATTAGAAGAGAGAGTAAGAGACTCTCCGATTCTGTAAAACACATATTGCAACGAATATGTACATATTTTTGAACTAATCACGTCTATTGAAGTTACTTCAACCACAGGCACCTGACGTTACTTATTTTTTCTTTTATAAAAAAAATATACACATACATAATAATACACAAGGTACCCATCGAAACTCGCCATCTTGGATTTTCGAAGTAGGTCATCACTTATATTTTCGTCTGAATCTCCGTCAAATAAATTTCCTGCAACCATATTCTTTCTGTGGCCAGTCTTTCCAGGTCTAAACTTACGGACACTGCAGCCAGAAAGGCGCAACACACTTGCAAATATTGAAAATTTGTCAAACTCATATATCATATAACTTACATCAATATGCTAACAAATTTGTCAGTTTTGTGGTTTTTCGGCGTGTTATAATTACTTTGAAATTTTAATAAATAATAATAGAAATGAAAAAAATGCAAAATGGGAAAAATAAAACACTTCTTATAAATATACCTGTAAAATATACTGTATTAATCTATACAGGTCGTTGCATTCGAAACAATCTTGAATAAAAGAGGGGGGGGTGCTTGAAAAAAAAAAATCAACAACAAATCATCTAGAGTTAATTGAATCGTTTTCAAAAAACAATAGACTGCAAACCATCCAGTTATATATATAATTATTATACATATATACCTGGCATATGCTTAATTGAAAAAGGAGAGGGGTCACACTGATAAAAGGATATGTAATGAAATCAAATATAAGCCTATGCAAAATGCATACATGTATGTATAATCTGTCACCAAGAAAAAAGATAAAAATGTCGCCATGCCACTACTTTATTGCAATACATAAAATTGCAAAACCTGTAGAACAGGTTTTCACACACGTGCGTACATACAATAAAGTCAATCTTCTCCACGGATAGCGTTCAATCAGGGCATCAATAATGACAGTGTTATTAATTATAAGTGCATGTAAGTAGGGACTTACAACCGACTTAATTTGCGAAAATGTTCATTGATCAGCATGATGGTAACAATAAATATAATCGCTTTGATCAAGCTATATCGAAATTATTTTGAGAGAAATAAAATGAATGTTCTTACATGTATATTACGTTGTATTATTGTCTGAATTATTGTTTTTGGAATAAGTACTAACTTTCGCCGGTTATTTTAAAAATAAATCGTACAAATATATTGACCAATCAAAAAAAGGAGAATTTCAATCGGTTAAATGGTTGGCGATTTCTCGGAATGTTGAAGCAGTAGGTCGAGTTTTACGAGGGATTTTCAATATTTGCAAGTGTGATGCGCCTTTCTGGCTGCGGTGTCCGTAAGTTTAGACCTGGAAAGACTGGCCACAGAAAGAATATGGTTGCAGGGAATTTATTTGACGGAGTTTCAGACGAAAATACAAGTGATGACCTATGGAAAATCCAAGATGGCGGGTTTAAACATGTATTATCAGGTATGTGTATATTTTTTTTTAATAAAAGAAAAATAAGCAATGTCAGGTGCCTGTGACTTCAACACATGTTTCGGAAAACCTGTTCTACAGGTATTTGAATAAACAAATTGAACGTTTTATCAGTTTCTAAGGAAATGGGCGTGTCATAAGATGACAATAAACTTTAAAAATCTCCATTTCGGCGAAAACTCATGTCAATGCACTTCATTGTACATGGCAAAATACATAATTCTAATAGAAAAAAAACTGTAATAAATAGAATCTGTAACAGTACATGAAACGGTATACGTATACATACAATGAAGCGCATTGAAGTGGTAAAATTTTCTGTTCAAACGGAACGTTTTGAGCTATCTTTAGAACGTTGATTGTCGCGTGAAGACACGCCCATTTCTTTAGAAATGGATAAAACTGTCAATTTGTTTATTCGAAAACCTGTAGAACAGGTTTTCCATAAATACAATAGCCAACCAAATTGACGGTCTAAATAAAGTTAATAAACACCGAGTAAACACGTGTTCGACCGAAACATGTGTTGTGGTAACTTCAATAGACATGATAAATTCAAAAATATGTACATGTTCGTTGCAATTTGTGTTTTACAGAATAGGAGAGTCTCCAACTCTCTCTTCTAAATTTTTTAAAGCTCCATTTCATTGCAACTTATGTTGCTTGTCGCGAAGAGTGTGGTGTCTTAAAACATTACGACGAATATTTCTTTCTCGTTTCTAAAAATATGGGCGTGTCATTATGTTATAATTGACGTTCAAAACATGACTCTCAAAACGTTTCATCCAAGCGAAAATTTTTACCATTTCAATGCGCTTCATTGTACAATGAAGCGCGTTGAAGTGGTAAAATTTTCCGTTTGAATGGAACGTTTTGAACTATCTTTAGAAGTTAATTTCATAAATTGACACGCCCATTTCTTTAAAAAGGAAAAACTCGGACAAATCGTATATTTGAATGTCTGTCGAACATGTATTCTAAAAAATTAATATAACAGCCAATCAAATCGACGGTCTAAATAAACACCGAGTCAGCGCGTGTTCGACCGATACATATGTTATGGTAACTCAAACATGATAAATTCATAACTATGTACAAATTTGTTTCAATACGTGTTTTACAGAAGCGGAAACTCTCTAACTCTCTCTTATATATAACTATCAAAATCCCCATTTCATTGTAACTTGCTGCTTGTCACGAAGAGTGGGGTGTATTAAAACATTACGACGAATATTTCTCTCTAAAGAAATGGGCTTGTTGTTGTGTTACAATGAAGCGCATTGAAGTGGTAAAATTTTCCGTTTGACTGGAACGTTTTGAGCTATTTTAGAACGATGAATGTCATACAATGACACGCCCATTTCTTTAGAAAGGAAAAATCAGTCAAACTGTTCATTCGAATACCTGTAGAACAGGTATTCTAAAAATAAAATAGCCAATCAAATTGACAGTCTACGTAAACACCAAGTAAGCACGTGTTCGACTAATATGTGTTATGGTAACTCCGATAGACATGATGAATTAATAATTATTGACTTCGTTGCAATATGTGTTTTACGGAAGTGGGAACTCTCTCTCCCTCTCTCCTCTCTCTCTCATAACTTTAAAAATCCCCATTTCGGTGTAACTCATGTTGCTTGTCACGAAGAGGGGAGTGTCCTTTAAACATTTGTTTCATTCTAAATAAATGGGCGTGTCATTATGTTATAATTGACGTTCAAAACTTGACTCAGTTACGTTTCATCCAAACGGAAAATTTTATCACTTCAGTGCTCTTCATTGTATGATTGATTCAAAACATGACTCAGAACGTTTCATCCAAACGGAGTTTACCACTTCAATGCGCTTCATTGTAAATATAATATAATGTATACGTAAAAGTGCATGAATCAATCAAGCTAAAACACCATTGAAAAATTTAAAGTTAGAGCAGAACAGACACGGATTCCATTAAATATCAGAGATGGCGTCAGTTGTCATGGAGGAATACCAACCGTCGGTCGGTCACACCTGCCATTTACTCCTTCTATTATACAATCGATGCAATGTTCCTGTCAACAAAGAAAAATACCATTAACTATTATTTACGTGCTGTATTTTCTACGAATTTACCATTTGCTGACCATGACAAAGCTCGATGTAAACGAGGAACAGGGGATGATTTATACTTTATGGGACATGATCCCACCTCTGTATTCAAAGACGTGTTTGACTCGGGTTACATACATTTTTGAAAATGAGTACCATTCTTTATCTTCACTTTTATGTATTGCTTAGACAAAATGACACCATAATTTCTTTTTCAGTGTGTTTAATATCATGCACTTTTGTCAACGTTCCCCGTGAGCCTAATTTGGGAGCTGCCTGGGCCTACAATTATGATCCTCATAAGGTAAATTTTATAACCGTGTATTTTTTTTAATGATGAATTTTTTCATTCATTTGGATCTTTATATTAATTTTATTACAAACCGTTTATAAAGATTGTCCCCTAAATGATTTTTTCAATGTTAAAAACTTGTGAACAAAGTTTGAACCACAATTTTTTTTAAAAGTGATTTAATTGTATTAGTTTTGCTCCAATAATATTCTCGGCTTGCTTAAACTGTATTTCAATGTGGAGACTACAATACAGCCACGAATTGTGTAGAATGAAATAAAAGTAAAGGGTATCTTTAAGACGGATGAGAATCTGTTAGTATGTTGTTGTTTTGGAAATGAAATGTATATGGAAATAAGGAACAGTATTGGAGTCCAATAAACAATACACACCAAGGACGAACGGTCACAGCCTGCCGTGTACTCTTTGACATGATCGGCAAATAACAGAAATCTAGCTCCATGTTTTTAGAAGCACAAGCCACGCTGTGTTTTTATCACAAGATATCACAAAACATCAAATTACGAAGGGTTGAATGCAAGCACAATATCATTTTACCGATATTGCATTGTAAAATTTAAAAAAAAAACAGTTTAAAATGAGTATGAGTGAGAAGAAGAATATTTATTTGATAGGGTATCCTTGCGATGAGAAACAACTATCGTGCGTCGCCAAACGATACTTGTCACGTGTACAAACTGACAGACCAGCAGAGACATGATATTCACACCATTGCTGGGGAATTCAATATCGAAGTATTTTTTTTCCGTAAATTCATAGAAATACATCCTTTGAATTTATTCTTATCAACATTTAAAGTTTTGTTTTATTTCAAATAGTAGTACTTTGTGTATTCATTGGTTATTTCAAATAGTAGAGCTTTGTGTATTCATTGGTCATTTTTTAAAATTTGAAATGAAATTGAAATTTAGTCATTTCTTTTATCACAGATTATGATGTACGACGCTATCATAACAAAACATGGAGAGACTATGACAGTACAAGAGCTGAACCAAACCAGCTATAACCTATGGAAATTTTGTAAAAATAATCTCCACTTTATGAAGTATAATTTCTATGTTTAAGATAAATTAAACTTCCAGTGTTTAGAGTGATTTATTTTTTGTTTGTTTTGTATATTAATGAATGAAATCAATGCTCATAGACAATTTTTATTTTCAAAAGTTTATACATTAAAAAGAAGTTCTGTTAAATTTTCTTTCTTTCAAAGATTTTGCTTGAATTTGCTCTATTACATTTTCATGGGAAACGGTATAAAGACTTTATCATTTCGAGATCAATCAAAAATATATATCTATCAAGTATGTGTAAATCCGCTTCTTTTATAAATGATATAATAAAAACATTTCTTTTGGCAAAACAATGTTTAAGAAGTTGATAATGAGATTAATTATTGTTCGTTATCATGATCCTTTTCATTGAATTATATTTCAAACAGCTTTTTCATAGAACCAATTTTTTCGTACAATATAATTATATGAATGACAAATAACATATCGTCCCTTAAAAATTTTCATAAGAGAATAAAACTTTGTTCAGAGAGTAAATAATTGGATACGTGAAACAGTTTTTCATTTTAGTGCGACTTCTACAGCGAATTATTCATTTAATTCTGACCAGAGAAATATTTGCCAAGACTAGGTAAAGGCAATTTTAAAAAAAATACAAAAAATAAGTAGAACAATATTTATTTATGAGTAAAGTCAAACTGTTTAAGATCTATTACAACAATTAAGCATTATCAGCAAGATTCCATACAATATTCCCCAATCTATTTTGCCTTTAGGTTTCAATAATTGATTTTCCTGATGTGATCGTATACAAACAGTTTATACTAGGGGTGTTAGAAAAGTTCGTGGACAAGTTCTATTGTGAGCGCGCTATTTCCACGAAACCGGTCAAACTTTCCAGATAAAATCTTTACCTTTTTTCTAATAAATATACAAGAATTTGGTGCTCCTCGATGATTATTGAAAAATATACAGCTTTTTTATTTTGATAAAACTTGCTTCACGGTGCATGATACATTTTGGCACGTTTACATCACAAAGACTCTTTATTAAAATTAAAAATTGCACAATTGTACCGCAAAGAGTTTTATGATATTTTACCTGCCGCTAAAGTATTCATGAAACGTCACTGGGAGAAATTTTGAACTAAATTGGAGCGTATATATATGACTGTTTTATAGCCGTTTATAACTGATCAACGCTTAAAAACAAAGCCAAAAATCGGAACGTCATTGAGCGTCATGGAGCACTGCACTACGTAAAAATTATGTATGCAGACTGGAAAATGTCTAAATAGAGATTAAAATGTTTCAAGATGCTGCCGGGAATTTCCTACACCTACAAAGGACAAGTTTTCAAATGGTTGTAGCTTCATAAGAATGGAAGGATTAACATTTTGAATGATTAACTCCATCGATACTTCAATACCCCCGTATCGCGAGGACGTTGCATTGCGCCTATATGGTTTAGCATAGTTTCCATACCTGATCGATTAACTGCATAGACTTTTTTTTAAGATCTCAATAATATCCGAATCGGTACAAAAGACATTATATAGAAGAAAAATAACATGTCTTGATACAGATATTCAATTTTAGAGTAGAAAAAAAGAACAGAAAAATCTAAAGATTTATAGAACTGCGACAAAGCTTAACCGGTTGAAATCTGGTTGTCACGTCGCCTTACGTCAAGTGATTGCTCCGTGAATCCCATGACCTCATAGTAAAAATCGTTGTAAATTTTCAAGATTTTATTATATGGACCTGATTTTTTACATACCAATAAACAAAATATAGGAATTTATTCAGACATAGGTCATATTTCACAGTACACAATAGATTTTCCGTAATTTAATGTGTCCGCTAACTTTTCTAACGACCCTCGTACATATAACAGTTCAATATGTTTCAATGCAATACATGTATAACTTTTACATACGGTATATTAATGCATTTTATTACACACTTAGTAATAAATACAGGTTTTTATGCACCCGAATCGATAGATCCGAGGCGTATATTGTTTTTGTCCTGTCTGTCTGTCTGTCTGTTTGTTTGTTTGTTTGTTTGTTTGTTTGTCTCCAAACTTTAACCTTCACCATTAATTTTGAACCATGAAAGGTAGAACCTTCATATTTGGTATGCATACTTCACTAATTAGGTGCCTTAAAAAAACACCAATATTAATGACCTTGTGACCTTGAATGTGACCTATATGCTAAAAATAGCTTTTCTGTCTGCAAACTTTAACCTTCGCCATAACTTTTGAACCATATGGACTCATATTTAGTATGCATACTACACTAATAAAGTTCTTTTGACACAAACAATGAAACTGTGACCTATATGCTAAAAATAGCTTTTTCGTACCTTTCACCATAACTTTTCATAACAGAAAGAGCATATTTGGTGTGCATAACATCAATAAATGATCAATGACCTGACTGTTATCTAAGCTTGTATGCTAAAAATAGCTTTTTCAATTTTTGTTGCCGCCGGGCGCATAGTGTTTCACAAACACATCTTGTTTGCATATGCGATGTGGCTGACGTCACAATAGCCGTATCAGCCCTGGAGGGCTGATATGTATGGCTCGCCAAATTCACAAAAATGAGATAATCATAGTTTCACAATTGATAAACTAGGTTTATCGACTGTAAACTATAGTTAACGATTCGTTAAGTATAGTTTTCATCTGTAAAACTATATTTAACGGTTGTTAACTATAGTTTACGAATGCTAATCTAAGTTTATCTGTCTGAATAAAGCTTTAACAATAGATTTTGTTGATACACATAGATTCACGTTTGTAAACTATAGTTTACAATCGTAAACTATAGTTAAGAGTTGTTAATCATAGTTTCACAAATTGTGAAACTATATTCATCAGATCGTTAACTATAGTTAACGGTTTGTAAACTATAGTTTACAAATCGTGAAACTGTATTTATCAGATAATCTATGTTTTGCAATCGCAAATGATTGTTTTCGGTGTTAAGTATAGTTTACGGTTGTGAAACATAGATTATCGCGTTAACTATGGTTTACAGATGTGAAATATAGATTAACGTTGTTAACTATAGTTTACGGTTTGTAAACTATAGTTTACAACCGATAAACCTAGTTTATCGATTGTGAAACTATGATTATCTCATTTTTGTGAATTTGGCGTGCCATAGATATGGATTTGCAAGGCTGATAACCTATATCAGCCCCGCAAATCCATATCAGCCCTGCAGGGCTGATACGGCTATTGTGACGTCAAAATCACACCCTCAGTAAATTAAACCACAAAAACAGTACTTGTGATCATACACAGTTTTTGGTAGGTTCATATTCTCTTAAATTTACCTTTTTGATAATAAGGTTATCTTAATTTACAAATACATGTAATAGATCATTTTCAAATTACGGATCGAGTGCATTGAAATAGAAGTAGAAACAAACCCAAATCGTATGAGCGATAGACCATATATATGTATGTAAGAAGTCCATGCATAATTATTTACTTATTTTCTTCTCAACTTAATGTATGCTGTATTTTATTACTAAGTATGTAATAAACATATTAATACATACCCTTTTCCATATCACATCCTGTATCAGCCCTCGACCAATATCAGCCAGAGGGCCGAAGGCCCGAGGGCGGATATTGGTCGAGGGCTGATACAGGATGTGACATGGAAAAGGGTATGTATTATTCTCTATATAATGTATCATTCAGTCAATTGCTGACTGACGTTTTTCATACTTATTGTTAGGCCATTATTTAAAGACTGAATTGTCTACGTTTTCTTTGTTTTTACCAATCATGACAATGAGCACACTGCGGGTGTGACCGGTTTGCAGGAGATGCTTACTCATCTATGGCACCTAATCCCATCTTCGATAGTTTAGAGGTCTATGTTTTCTCTGCTTCGGATTTGTATTGTTTATATAAACTTTCGAGCTTGAATACTGTTCGCTATCTCTATAATATAGACCCCCTTCCCATAAAAAAGCAAATCAACAAAACTTTGTAAACCTTACAAAATTAAATAACAGATATGTATAAAGGGATCAACTATGAGGATCCTAATTGCTAACTCATTCGATCTTTAACTTATTTTCAATATGACACATGTTCATTAATATAAACATTTTTTGGGGGCGGGGGGGGGGGCAGGCTGGGTGAGTTAGGAGTTGCTCTATTAAGGATCTGTAACTTCAAGACATAATAAAACCATCAATTAGAAAAGTTCCATCTTTATCAGCATTTTCTTCTCAGATACCCGGTATTTTGAAATATAATAAGGGTTCAATAACTCGATTTTTTATCAGTGGGTCTGTCTTTGTCATTTGCGTAATAAATTCGGTACCAAAACGTTAGCATTTTCTTCATAACACTAGACAGGGTCTAGTTGTTTTTCCGTTTTTAAAAGATTTTTCCATTCGACAAAATATTTCTGTTCAAGATTCTTTCATGTCTGGTTCATGTAGATGTGTTTTACAGTCACAATGAATTACCTAATCATCTCGGTCCAGTGAGGGTTTGACTGCCATTTTAAATGTTAAGACTACCACTCTAATTTCTTTTTAGTTCATAACTTTACATGAAATATATGGAGATAACGAACAGTATTCAAACTTCAAATTCCATTAAACAATACAAAATATAGGAGCAAAGCAAACACGAGGCCCCAAAACACCAGAGCTGGGGTCAGAGTGAGCGACCCCTGCTGACAGGTCTCATCCGCCATCTGCTCCTTGTTATGATCGGGAATTAACGAAAAAATCCGTCAACAATTCAGTGTGTATATAAAGGCCTAACAATAAATATAAAAACGTCAGTTAGCATTTGTCTTAATGATAAATTGTATTTGCTGTCAAGGTCATTGTATTAACCATAGAACTTTCGAAATGATGATTTTAAACGGGAAAACTGATATTCTTGTTTCATCAACTTGTCTGTCAATAATTTACCTTGTTTCAAACATTTATCATACAATATGTAGAACAAGACCTTGCGTATCGAATCAAATGAGAGATATAAACACCGTATATAGATGATGAAGGATTATTGCTGCATAAGTAAGGAAAGTTGAAGACTGAAAAGTTAAACTCAATCGTTTGTCATAAAGCATGATTGTTAGATTACCCTTAACTTGTTTTGCAAGTTAAATATCTTGTGTTAGACTCTGTGATATGTTTTATGCATATTCTTAAGTAACAAGTCTTTTTCAGAATGGGTAGATGTGCATTAGCTCTAAAAATACCAGAAGTCTCTGTCGAGACTATAGCTCTACTGGTTTGTACTTATAACAAAGGATGAGAAAAGAAGCCATTGCCATCTGACCAAACCTGTAGAAGGAGTAGCGTTTTAAAGGAATTTCACAGAAAATTCTATTTTTAGTAACAATGGCAACACTGTTCATCGAAATCAAAAACGGATGCATAATTTTATGTATCTTAGTGTAGTCTACTTGTGTGCCAAGTTATATTGAAATCAGACCAAAACTGTAAGAGGAGTAGCGTTTTAAAGGAATTTCACAGAAATTTCTATTTTTAGTAACCATGTTAATTGAAATCAAAAACAGAACATTCCTTTCATCTTGTGTGCCAAGTAATCGAAATCAGACCAAAACTGTAGCAGAAGTAGCGTTTTAAAGTAATTTTTTATGTAACCACGGCAACACTTCGAAATCAAAAAGTGCTGTTTTTTGTATATTAGTGTAGTCTACTTGTGTGCCCAGTAATATTGAAATCAGATCAAAACTGTAGGAGAAGTAGTGTTTTAAAGGAATTTCACAGAAATTTCTATTTTTAGTAACCATGGCAACACCGTTCATCGAAACAAAAAATGGCTATTTTAACAACTTGTGTGCCAAGTTATATTGAAATCAGACCAAAACTGTAAGAATCGTTTTAAAGGAATCCAGATTTTTGCATAATTTTATGCACTATTCTTTAGTGCAGTCTACTTGTGTGCCAAGTAATACTGAAATCAGACCAAAACTGTAGCAGGAGGTTTTAAAGTAATTTCACAGCATTTTTTAAATGGAATTCGAAATCAAAAAACACACTGTATTTTGTAAATTCTATTTTTAGATCAAACCATGGCAACACCATGGCAACACCGCTCATCGAAATCAAAAACCGATGCAACTTTTAATGTATCTTAGTGCAGTCTACTTGTGTGCCAAGTTATATCAAAATCAGACCAAAACTGTAGGAGGAGTAGCGTTTTGAAAAATTGTTTACAGACAGACGGACAGACAGACAGGCGGACGGACGACGGACACCTTACTATCGCATAAGCTTTTCTGGTGTCTCTGACCAGTAGAGCTAAAAAAGAGATATCAATATTATATCCTTCTCATTGTTGTTCTTTTTTGTGTTTTTTGTTGTTTTTTTTCTATTCTTTGTTTTCTTGAATAAGAATACGCTGTAACTATCTAAAGAAAAGCAGTACTTTCATTCTTAGTTTTTTAAACATTAAAAGCCTTTGAATGAGAAAGTCAATCGTAGCGTATGTTTGCTATCTCTTGTAAATGACAATATTCCATAAATTAGCATAGCTACAGTGTCTGATGATAAAAGACTTTTATTTAAGTACTTATCTTAATCATGCAAACTACATTAATTTATCAGACAGATGATGTAATTTTCTTGCTAATCTATGTACAGCTGTATACAAAAGTAATGTCGATTGTATTGTATTATACTTAACGCATTTTATTTGAGGGTTCTCATGAAATTGCCAATGTTTCAAGATTGTTTCAGTATTTCTAGTAATAACCTGTGTAGACATATTGTTTTAAACATATTTTATTTGCAATGCATCATTCGAATAAAATACCCTCGAATGTTTGAGTAATCATTTCGAAAGAACAATCATTACTTATGTTTTGGTCTTAAGGTACACACGAGAATCGAATCAGGGCCTCTAATGAAGAAACCTTGAACCGTTGTTTCCTCTTTTTTAAACAGTATATTAAACATGCATTATTTTATTGATCAACAGATGTGGTGATGTTTCCGTTTTGTTCTCGAGCTCATTTACACCATGTCTGTAAAAATGAAAAAAAATACATTTGCACGAACCCTTTTCTTTATAACACACCCTCAAAGACATTTTTACGGTAATGAAATTATGAAAATCCCAATTTTGTATTTTAAATGTTCGAAACTTGATATGAGATGAAAAGTTTCTTTAACAGGACCATTTTATGCATGCAGTGAATTTGCAGCCCTCCATTGGCAAGTCGTAGCCATTCAATATGTCTGAAAAATTTAAAAATGGGACTTAACAACAAACAATTCCTTCTTAATAAGTTAATATTTGGACATGGAATAATAAGAGATTGAAAGTTCATTGCTTATCTAAAGTCATATGACTTTTAAGGAGAAGAAACATGGATTCCATATATCCGTTGTTTTGTTTGTGTATTTCCTCTTTGGGTAGGGGTGTTCAAGTTTTATAATATTGTCTATTATTTTCATGAAAGAATGCTTCAGTGTATATTTTCATCTACCGTATATAATATAAAAGCTAAGGAATGTCTTTCTTTCAGTGTGTCTGCTATCTTGTACATTTGTACACGTGACAAAGGAGCCATTTTTATCTACGGCATGGCAATACAAATACGATCCAAGTACGGTACGTTATCAATACTTTCCCAGATGTTTATGGTCGTGCAAAACTTCATGGTGAAAATTATTTGCTACTTAATCTTGTACTCTCCCCCTCGAAAACGTCAAAGTAATTATTTATCATTTTTGGCTTTTTAGGGTGTTGCTGCAATGAAGAATAGCTATAGACCAACCCCAAACGACACTTGTCACGTGTACAAATTAACAGACGAACAGAGACAAGACATACATACAATGGCCGGGGAATTTAAGATAGAGGTATCGGCATATAATAGACGGCTTTAATCTTAGCATCTTGTCTTTAACGCTTCAGTATTAGTTGCCAAATATCTTTAAAATATTTTTAACTATTATTTTCATGCTAGTTAATCTATTCTCAGATAATGATGTATCAAGCTGTCTTGACACAACACGGAGAAACGATGACAGCACAGGAATTAAACAAAACAAGTTTTTACATCTGGAGATACTGTTCACATCAGCTAAAATTTATGAAATATAATTTTTATACATGAATCACCTAAATAAAATTCTGATGTATTTTATTTTTAAATGGTACAGGTGAAGATAATAAAGGACGATGAATTTCAATAAAATATAATCAAAAATTATGTAAGACAAAAGACAGGCACTCATAGAATGAAACACCAGAATACGATCAGGCGTCTGTAAGGATGAGGATAGCCAGTAAAATCAAGAGCGTGTTTTTGTATTGATCACATGATCGAAGTATTCCGTGATGAAAACTTAATATCCAAATTATGGCTTACCATTACATGTGAAAACATTGGCTAATGAAATGAAGCCCACTCTACTGAGTGAAAGCTAAAAAGTTAATCATGTAATTTGATATAATATTATAACCATATAAACTGCAAGTTTGTTAATTTTAAAGAATCATGAAAAAGAGGCACATACCAGGGGTGATCAAAAAGTTCGCGAACTACCTCTATATCTACAAAACCACAATTCAGATTACAAAAAAATTTGTACACAAATAGCCATACACAAATTCTATAAATAGCATATGTTGAATAAAGTTTTGCTCCTGTTTGTGGCGTCACAATGTGAAAATGACGTCAGTATGCAGATCACTTGTTACAAAAAATTGTTGCCTCAGTCTTACTCGTTGAACGAATGACAATAAAATTTATGGAATATCTTGGAAATTCTTTGCAGTAGCGTATAATAATTTGTACACTGTTTATTAAGAGAAAAGACTTACTATAATTCAATCAATGATTGGATTGATCGTTTTAGAGATGGTTAAAAATGATATTTATTATGTTGCCCAATTGAAAGCACGTTTGAAAAGAGATGTGTTTTTGATTAAGCAATTTTTTACCAAAGACCTTCAAATTACAGTTTGAAAAAAAGTTGAGTATCTTAACAATAATATGATTATTAAATACCTAAGATATCGTTTACTTTTAAGATTTTAAACATACTATTTTTAGATATGATAACAAGGAGGCAGAATGATTTGGGTTTTGATGGTCGCCATGCTTATTTTTGGAAGGGATATTCCTATCCATCCATTCTGTTTAAGTGATTTGACCATTTCCGACAAATGAACTGGTCTTGTTATAAAAAGATAACTTACATAGAAAGAAATATAAAATTCAGAAAAATCTTTCAGCTTTTGTGACAGAACGATACTGAAGGGGTGGCATATGTGCATATGGCATACCGATGGCATATGTGCTTTGAATTTGGCAAGGACTAATCTAAAATATAATCAACACTGAAATCAAAGCTTGTTTCTTTTATGGAAGTTCTCTCTCTCTCTCTCTCTCACATAGAATATATGAATTTATGACCTTGGCCCTGACCTTTTGACCTCAATATCAATAGGGGACTTTGTTGGACCATGGGGAGTTGTGTAAAATTTTTGCTTAAGCCCAAAGGCTTCTTAAGATATTGCGTGAAAACGAAAGTGTTAAAGACAGACAGAACTACAGACAGATGGACGGGTGGACAGACCGAAATTAATATCCCCAATTTCGGCGGGAAACAACACAGCTGTGAACCTGCACATGAGGGAGAGAAAAGAAACGTCCCTTCATATGCTTTAAACCAAACAGGCTGACTGTATCATACTGAAGGATAAAAAATAAACTTGCTTGTATTTCTATTTCTCTGAAAAATATAATTTTTTTAAAAATATAAACAAAGCAAGAAAACATCAAAAAAACATTGAGATCGTATCCCTGTTTCATAATACAGGTGGTAATCTTTAATTTCTTTTAAGGTGTAACTTAAGTTTTTTATTCTGTATAACTTATTTTAATATTATCGTTTTTTAGAGTACTATAAGGTTTTGAACTCCCTACCTTTGTATATTATAGATAAATTATATAATGATATATTTTATGCCTCCTATGAGAAATATCAGCCTGATGGTGCAGTTCGAATATGTCATTTTAATAATTCAATGACAAAAGTAAAATGTAAAACAAATCAAAGCAAGAAAACAATACAGGTTACATGTACATAGGTGAAAGGTACAAGTGTGATCCCTGAAATTTACATGCAGTGAACATATCAGAGTACATGTAAATATGCATAAAATATAACATAAATGAGTAAATTTGGAGGCTTTTAAAGTGACAAGTTATAAAATAATATAAAACCAAAAACCCCAAAAAAGGGTGGGTGGTGGTTTTTTTTTTCAAGGCACTACCAGGCTAACAAAAATGGCGCAACAAAATCAAGGATTTTGATTGGGTTACTCTGTCAAGAAAAGCAAAGCACGCAGGTCCACTTTTCCACAAACATTTTTTTTCAAGGCACTACCAGGCTAACAAAAATGGCGCAACAAAATCAAGGATTTTGATTGGGTTACTCTGTCAAGAAAAGCAAAGCTTGCGATTTCGCAATGAAAGGTTATATGATAATTGCGCTGCGATAAAGGCGCATATCCTGCAGACTGCGCAGGGATTTGCGGAATTATCCTAAGGTGTAAAATATAATATATTTCTCATAGCGGCATAAATTGAATTATCTGTGATAATATTTTTTATTATAGGATGTTTTGTAGATGTTTTATATTAGGATTAACAAAAGCATTTAGAAAGTATTAATAAAAATTGATGATAAGACTAATTAATGGGTTTTTTCTCCTATCTTTTTATTTCCCCTTTTACTTAAATAGTCTTACAACGCTGGCAGCATGTTAGATCATCAAAATTCTGGCACATATGGACTTGGACAAACCTCCATCAAGAGTTGTATGAACACTGTAATTCGTTCTGAAAAAGAAGTGCATTTGTTTTAATCAAAGACTGTTAATCACATGGACATATGTTTAAACTTCATGCAGATTATGTTTATCACAAGATATATATCTGAAATGTAGACTTAAATTCATTGGGACCATTAAACAAAAATTCAATAAATTAGTCAGTAAACTTTTAAATTTACTCATTCAATTGAGGATTGAACATTTTCAGTTCTATTTATACCATCTCAATGAAAATAAAAACAACTTTTTTTTTTCCTTTTAGGGGTGCATATTTATTCTTAATATCAGGTTTGAAGGGACTGAAGTATTTCAGAGCAATTATTTGGCAGTCTATACTTTACCATGAAATATTTGAAGATGCAATGTAACAAACAATTTGAAAAGTCTATTAAACAATACAAATCAGGAGCAGAACAAACATGGACCTCTAAAACATTAGAAGTAGGATCAGGTGTAATAGAGGAAATAGTATCTTTTGCTGACAGGTCACATCCGCCATGTCCTCGATCCTTGACATGACCGAGAAATAACGGAGAAATGCGTTGGTGTTTTAATAATGGCATAACAATTAGTATGGAAAAGTTAGTCACCATTTGAGTTAATGATAGGTTATTTGCTGACGATTGTATCGACCTTAGAATTTACGAAATGATTACTTTATATGAGGCTGCTGATATTCTTGTTTCATCAACTTAATTAAGAATCATTCATACGTAGAGCAGTCTTTTATGTATCGAATTATTAACTTACTCCGTATGCAGGTAATAAAGGTATATTGATGCATAAGTAAGGAAAGTGGACAATTACGAGGGTTGTCCCGTAAAATCGTGGACAAGTTGTCTAGTTTGAAAAATAATCATCACTGCGTTCTGAAATTTTCACCACTTTTTAGTAGATAAATTATGAATATACATAGCAAATTTCAAATAGATATATGCATAGGTAAACAAATTGTGATATTTTATGTTATGTACTGTATACGGCGCACGGATGATTCAAAGTGTCTAAAACAGCTTCCATCTTTGCTAAACTTAAAGTTGGATAAGCCCCACTTAAAATTTTATTGATTTACATATGTTATATCTATAACCAGTTAAGAAACCAATAAGGCACATCATGCATTTCTGAATATTTATTAGCAAGTTACAGACAGTATTCTCACCATCATTCAACTAAAAGAGAATCTCACATCGAGGTCGACAGTGACAGTGTCCTTTGCTATAACAAATGGCACATATGTTTTGCACTATCTGGGGACTGGATCACGAAGACTTCACTAAGAAAACTTTCATTTCATTTATATACTAAAGATCTGGTGATATTTTTCATATTTTCTTTCTTCTGTATTCATTTAAAGTCTCTTAAGGCGTCATTAAACATCCTAATCTATCTGAAAATTTATAAAAAGTCGCCATTTTTCGTGTATTGTGTTTATTACTTTCCCATTTCAAATGAAACTGCCAAAAATTAACCAAATGCCTTGAAATTTTTAAAAAGACGACAGAATTGATTAAGGAATGGAATTGATAATTTTCAAAATGTATTGAAAACTTTTGAACGAATTAATTCACGTCTTCTCTAATATAATGCTATTTTTACCGTGACCGTACCTTGTGCACAAAGAGAATAAAATCTTTATTTTTAAATATATTATCAAAAACATTATGATTCACTTAAATATGATGAATAAACATTTACTGAAAATTTCAGCGTGCGCCCATTACTTTTAGAAAAACGCTTTGTCCACGATTTTATGGGACAACCCTCGTAAAAAGTTAATTTGTTGTTAGATAACCATTAACGTCTTTTTCTAGTAAAATATCCAAATATGAAAAAGATGTATCAGCTTTTGTGATATCCCCTTTTTTAAAACCCATTGGGATATAAGTCAAATTTTATTTACAGTTATACTTTGTCTGCTGATATCATTTCAATAATTTCAAGAACATAAGAGGTTATGTTCCCCAATGAAAACTGTTGCCATGGACTGGATCTTAAAAAGTATAATACTCTCCTTCAATTTATTCTAAATAAAAACAAATTTATGATTTGCTTCAAATGGATTGCTACAGAAACATATTTTTCTACGAAATGTGTATGAAAAAAGCTGTCTGCTGAACAATTTAACTATATGTTTGATTGAAAGATCAATGGATTTGATCTATGAATGGAAAGATCGTAAGATCTTTCTGTAGCGTATGACATTAAAACCGGATCAACGATCCAATTTGATAACATTTCAGTTCAAATGAAATTATTGTCTGCTTTTATTTTTTCCAACACTTACTGAAACGCCTCTTGTTTTTCTGGAAGTGCATAAATGGTAGATAAAGCAAAAGTCCTCCCAGAATGAACAGGAACGCATAGAGGAACTCCAGTCTAGGGTCTTGTATGATCGGAGCCACGACCAAGTACAGTGAACACAGCAAGAAAATGACCGGAAACAGGATAAAGATCTGAAAACAGAGATACCATGAATTATTAAAAAATCTAAAATCATAACTTGCTCAGTGTATCGCAGTCGTACAAATTTCTTAATACTGTTTTTTAGACAATGTTTAACCTTTTTAAATAATGCGTCGAATAATGGGGAAATATTTTATATTTCATCTCTATGTATTGACCTTTATCTTGCGCAGAATTTAAAGAACTTGTAATGAAAGTATAGAGTAAGCCATACACAGAGAATATATTTATTAAGGAAAATGTCATTTAAAAATGCTTCTTCACTTTTTGAATATCTCTGTGTTGTACTTTTTAAATATATATTTATTAATAATTTGAAATGAATATCAGACATGTTATAAATTCTCTGAAGAATGAAATTATGCTTAAATATGAAAAATAAGAGACAATTGGACTACGACACCTCAGAATACATTTGGAAAATTTGATAAAAAAAATCCATTGGTTCTTGAAAATAAGAAAGTTTATGACAAAAAGAAAAAGGTCAATCTTTATAAAAGAAGCTCACTTTTTGTTTGTTTAAGGTGAGTTAACAAATCAATCACAATAAGAAAGTAAAGCGTATAGAATGTTTTTCTCTCAGTCTAAGTGTAAAAAAATTGAGTTTTTTGTAAAATACATGTAATATTATGTCTATATGATTTGCCTTTATTGGTCTTTTAACACTCTTCCATTTGAATCTCAATATAAGAAGAGACACAATGGCTAACGCATAAAACAACCAGGCGGCAAAGCTGAAGAAGTCGATCAAACTCCCGATATCCCCAGGAATTAACATGAGCAAGCCAATCACAGTCTGAAAAGAAAGATAGAGACTTTCAAACGTTTATTTACTGACACGTTTGTTAGAATGTGCTAGATACATATATGAAAACAGGCTTATGTTAAGTTTGTCAGTTTCAAAAATCAAATAATGCCCTTCAAAACTATATTAATGAAGGAGTTGGTACGCAGTGATATTTCAATAAGCAGATATTGATTTCAAAGATAAGGTCTTCAAAGTCTTCATTTGAATAACAAAAATTATTTAAAAATGTAAGAATATTGCAATGAGATGATAAAATAATGTATGCCTATGGCATCTTCAATTTCTCATCGATATGCTTTCAGTTATACAAATAGCAGACCATGGAAGTCTTATGAAACAGTAACAGTCCTTGCATTTGAAAGACTGTATACACAAGCTAATGTTATCACTCTGAGAAGAAAACAGGAAGAAAAATTGGCTAAAATAATTATTAAATCATCGTTGACAATGGTTTTCGGTCCACTCGTTTCCAGCACACTCTTGGCAGATTAAACCACTAACACTGTATCTGTATGAGGCGCGTTCTCTGTATTTCTGAGTTATCTTTTGATATCAAAAAGAATCCTTGATAGCAAAAATTTGAATTTTTTTATATCAAAAATTCTTAATTTGAATTTTCGATATCAGAAAATCATATTCTTATAGCCAAAAATCATTGAATTTTTGATATCAGAAATTTTTTTTTGATGTCAAGAAATGCGTTCCAAATTTTGATATCAAAAATATAAGTAAAATGAATGCTCTCTTATTTCCATTTCAATAGCGTCATTCTGAATACTGATTCTACTTCTGTTTAGTGATTAGTGTTATCACTTTATAGTTGTTTCAGTCTATTTCTTGTCTTTGTGTGTGATTAGTGAAATATAAATAAACATACAAAAATTAATTATGCAACTTTATAGTTGTTTCAAAGAAAATGCTATATTTAACTAATTAATATATACTTTTGTGTGTGTTTACATCACAAAACATTGTAAAATCATCAAAAATATATAAATATATTGGTTTTCCATGTTTGAATACATATATAATAAACATACAAAAATTAATCAATACATTTGCAATGCGGAATCAAAAGTTTAAAAATGCATCTGGAAGATTAAGTCGGCTACAGTTTTAGTGATGTAATCTGCTAAAGGTTTGTGGTTTTGCGGAGGTGTGATTAAATAAAACTTTAATTAGTTTTTTATAAATAACACGTTTATAACTTCAATGGGAATTAAGTGGGTCGGTCAGATCAAATGAGGCCTTCTGTTATTAAATATATATAATGAGAAAATTTAATATTAAAGAATATATGCTATAAATAATATATTTACATCATAAAACGTCATTTGTAAAATCATCAAAAATATATAAATATATTGGTTTTCCATGTTTGAATACATATTTATACATTACATTCTCAAAAACATTTAATATCAGTAACTAAAGGCATATTCGACAGTTTACATTTGAGAAACCTTTAATTTTTCCATTTAACATCGAATTTAATAAAAAAAATGAACACAGTGACTGGAATCAAAAGTTTAAAAATGCATCTGGAAGATTAAGTCGGCTACAGTTTTAGTGATGTAATCTGCTAAGGGTTTGTGGTTTTGCGGAGGTGTGATTAAATAAAACTTTAATTAGTTTTAAGGCGATAACGTACAAAATGTAGGTATATGTTTGTTATTGATCTCAATACATTATTTATGTCGAGCAATATTTTACTTATGCAACCTATCACATTTCCTTCCTTTGTCTCAAAATCACAATACCAACGGATAAGTTCAATACTCTTTAAATCTTTGTTTGCCATAACATTCAACTGGATCTTCATCATAAATTTCAAATTTAATTATTGCATAATTTTATTGATTATAATACAATGAAGCGCATTGAAGTGGTAAAATTTTCCGTTTGGATGGAACGTTTTGAGCTATATTTAGACACGCCCATTTCTTTAGAAAGGAAAAATCGGTCAAACGATTCAATAGAATACCTGTAGAACAGGTATATCATAAATATAATAGCCAATGAAATTGACGGTCTACATAAACACCGAGTAAGCACGTGTTCGACTGATACATGAGCTATGCTAAATCCAGTAAACATGATAAAATTATAATTACTAGTATGTACAAATTCGTTGCAATGCGTGTTTTACATGAACTCTATACATAGCTTTTTCTAATTTAAAAAATTTCAGTTAACTCATGTTGCTTGTCGAATATTTTCCTTTCTCGTTTCTAAAGAAATGTCATTATGTTATTATTGACGTTCAAAACATGACTCAGAACGTTTCGTCCAAATGGAAAATTTTACCACTTCAATGCGCTTCATTGTAACACGACTAATGCGTCATCCGATTAATCTGCAGGATAAATCAACATAGTTGAACATATTAACATACTCGTATTAAATGATATTTTAAAATAATCATTCTAAATGTTTTGGAGGTCCATGTTTGCTCTGCTCCTATTTTGTATTGTTTTATGGATTTTCTTCTTTTTATCTTGAATACTGTTCCTATCTCAATATTTATATAATAATGCATATGACTGAAAAATTCATAGCCGTGCCTTATTCAAGATAAAGAGAAATGATATATTCAATGGCTAGTAAATTTACTTGACCAGTTTGTTCAATACAAGAATTAAAGCGCGTTTATATTCTACCGCCATACGGACGTTATTGGCAGGGAAAAACATACACTATCTACAAAGGCCTTGGACAAATGCATTTGACGATTAAAAAAATCCCTCGTTAATAACTTTGCTTAATTTTTTTTTAACTTTGTGTCTTAGACTTTATATACTTTATTTCTAAGCTAAGACATGACGTCCTTTTATTTCTTTACGTCATATAAGTATATTTCTAGGAATGACATTTACTTTATTATTTTTTTTTTTATTATTTTTGCGTATGCATATTAATTAATCTCAAATTTGTTTGACCCTTTGTCTCTATATTTTGATTGGTTACACATCGTGAAGACCAATTATACAACTTACAATGGACTACATGATGGCAAACATGATTTCGCCTACTGTAAAGTTCAATGCATTTTGATTTGCCAGACATATCTAATAATTTTGTATATGTATCTGACATCTACCTTTCCACATTGAGCACAGTTGCAATACATTTTGTTAAACAATACCCCAAAATAAGGAGCTTACTTCACTCTTTTTAAGACTTTCTGTAACATATATATATATTTTAAATGAATCAACAACTTGTTTCAAACAGGTTGTATACCTGTGAGATACATCGGAGAGAATACACGTCTTGTATACGATCTGATGCACTACACAGAATTGCATGATATTCCTGGAACATTAGTCATGATTGATTTTGAGAAAGCCTTTGACTCTGTGTCATGGACTTTTATTCAAGAAACATTGGAATTTTATTTTACTTTGGACCAAGTTTTTGTAACTGGATAAACATTTTTTCAAAATAATATAGTTTCTTGTGTGTCTCGGGCAGAAATTTTATCTACATGTAATTTTTTCAAGTTAGGACGGGGCTGTCGACAGGGTGACCTAATTTCTCCTTATATATTTCTCCTATGTGCTGAGATACTGTCTATTAAAATAAGAAATAATGAGAATATCAAAGGAATTAAGATTAATGACACAGAGTACTTAATGTCACAATATGCAGATGACACAAACATAATTCTTGACGGCTCTGAAAAATCACTAGAGGCTACAATGCTAGAATTAGAAGAAATTTATAAAATGTCAGGTCTCAAAATCAATCAATCAAAAATCCAAATTGTTTGGATTGGAAGTTAGAAGAATTCTGAGGATGGACAACGAACTTTAAACTTTTAGGCATATATCATGATGTTGACTTAGCAAAAATCACAAAACTGAACTATGACAAAAAACTGGTTAAAATTAAGACCATCATAGAGCAATGGAAAAAGAGAAACTTAACTCCTATTAGAAGAATCACATTGATTAATCACTACTTATATCACAGCTTAATCATTTATTTATTACTTTACCAAACCCACCTATAAGTGTTATAAAAGATCTAATTGATTAAATCACTACGTATGTCACAGCTTAATTATTTATTTATTACTTTACCAAACCCACCTCTGAGTGTTGTAAAAGATCTAAACAAATTGATCTTTAACTTTTTATGAAAATCAAATATAGACAAAAAAAAAAAAAAAAAAAGAAAAGTTGTTATTCAGAAGTAAGCACAGGGAGGATTAAAAATGGTTAATATTGTTTCTTACATAACAGCTTTAAAATCTGCATGGATAAGAAAAATAATTTAAAACAATAACCAAAAGTAGAAAAAAATTATTAGAAAATAGTGTGGAGATTGATAAACTTGTAAATACAGGATCAGAATATGTGTCACATTTACAAGAGAATGTGCAAAGTAATTTTTGGAGAGATGTTTTGAAAGCTTTCCAAGAAATTCAGGAGAAAATAGAGATAAGAAATTGTCAAGAATATGCCTGTCAACCTTTATGGTAAACCAACAATTTCAAAATTGAAAAACAAGCAATACTCTACAAGTCCTGGTATGCAAAGATAATAAAATTTGTATATGATCTTTTAGATGAGAATAGTAACTTCTTATCACTGGACAAATTCAACACAATTACGATCTGAAAATTAATCATTTAACTTATACAGGCATACGACAAGCAATACTTGCAGATTTAAAGAAGTATAACTTTTGTAGAAATGGATTTATTCATAAACCAGATATTCCATGTAATATTAAAGTCTTTGTATTGACCAAAAAAGGATCAAAGCCTATGTATGATATGATAAATAAATCAGTAATAAAACTTGTGGGTATGGGAAAATGGGCAAAATTTTTCACCTTGACAGATACAAACTGGAAAGAAATTTATTGTCTGCCTTTTTTAACAACCCAAAATAGTAAATTTCAATGGCTTCAATACAGAATTAATCACTATATATTGACAACCAATAGCCTTATGTTTAAAATAGGTAAAACATACTCTAACCTGTGTACATTTTGTGAAACAGAGGAAGAAACAATATTTCATTTAATTTGGCAATGTCCAGTTGTAAAACAATTTCTAGACAGTGTCATCAAAAAGACATTGTATTAAATCTAGATGGTAAAACTTTTATATTTGGAGATATAGGTACTACTAGCTGCAATAATGTAGCCCTCTCCGATTTCTTTTATCTGATGTTTTCTGGAGAGGGCTACAATTCCACAGCATCTCTGTAATGGTGCAAAAATATTTTTTAAATACGGGAGACGGCAGGCAGAAAAAATAGTTTTTACATTCAACTTACATCTAATAAGACGAGATTTTTATTCACTGTCGACAACATAACCCGTTAAACGCGAAAAACATGTAAAATATATCTTCGCCAAGTTCGTGTTTATCTTCAACAGCCATGACAGTTCAGGCGTGACGTACCGAGACTTGCGCTTGAAATTTAGAATAACTAAATAAAGCAGGTTTCGGTGTTTATAAGTAATTGTGATGAATAGTATCACTAAACATCGATAAATAAAATCATTCCATGTGTTATTTTCTCGTAAACAGCGATATTTAGGTAATTCAAAAGAAATCCGCTCCCTATAGATCCTTAATCTCATTGGCTGTCCCAGAATAAAATCTGTCAAGGTCAGTAAACATGGCGGATAAATTTAAGTTGTGATGCTGACATACACGAAAAATAATTGATATATGGATTGTTCTGTATATTTTTGTATGATTTATGTCTTGGATAACTACATTTTTGGAGTCAAGGTAAGAAATGATAATAAAATAGCCATTTACTAACAATTTGAGCCGAAATCCGTGCGGGAGCGAATCGCTTCCGCAGCTGCACCATTACGGAGATCCTAAGGAGTTGTAGCCCTCTCGATCCCCCCCCCCCCCCAAAAAAAGAGGGAGAGGGCTACATTATTGCAGCTAAGGTAATACGATATCATCAAAATCTTTAAATATTTTGCTTATGTCAATGAAGCAATATATTTACAGAGTTCGTTGTCAACACCTCAGCCTCTCTATCCATGGTTTTCTGAATGAATTCAAAATTATTTATAAATTAATTGAAATATACAGCTAGAGAAGGTGATAAAATAGATGAGTTTAATGCCTCCTGGCAAAAATGGCACTCCATACTCTCAGACTAACATCAATAAACCCGGTCTTAAAACTAGTTTTGTTACCTACTCTATTTATCACCCACTTTCTTTTATAACATCATCTCTTTCTTTCTCTCTCTCTCTCTCTCTCTCTCTCTCTCTCTCACACACACACACAATGAATGCTGCAATGAAATATTGTGTTCATCTCATATGTTTGTATTATAGCTTTGTGGAATTCAAATTAAAAAACCCCCCCCCCAAAAACAACAACAACAACAACAAAAACAACTTGTTTCATAAATTGATATTACGGCCATACTGACTTCAAGCTCTGTAAGTATTCTTTAAACAATTTTCCTTAAAAGCATTTAAACTTGTTGCATCTACGAAAGTGCCTTTATTTTTAGAATTCCTGCAGTCTTCCAATAAGCGTTGAGCGTCCTTATCGTAGCCGCATATAAATTTGGTATGCATTGCCTATGGAAAATTATTTTTCTACAAACTATGATTTTGTCTTTCTAGGTATTTTACGCTTTTACCTATCTGGTTGCTTATCCATTCAATCGTATACTAGTAGTGCTTTACATACAAAATGAATCGTAGAATTCATGACTACATTCGTAATATAAGGTTTCAGTAATACAACAAAATTGTTCCGGTTTTGAGTATACTTAAATTGCACTGATTAACGTGATAAAATTAGTCTTTTTTGCGCCCGAAACGATAGATCCGAGGCGTATATTGTTTTTGTCCTTTCTGTCTGTCTGCCTATCTATTTATCAGTTTGTCTGCAAACTTTAAAAATGCTTTGTAAACATGATTTTTAGCTTTTATCATAGAGAATGTATACATTGTGACGTCACGTTTTATTTACACCCGGCTCAAGTCGGGTCGATACTTTGTAACCAATCAAAGCTCATGTTACAAGCTAGATAGGAAATAAATTGTTTTTGTCCTGTCTGTCTGTTTGTCTGCAAACTTTAACCTTCGCCACAACTTTTGAACCATGAAAGACAGACTTCGTATTTAGTATGCATACTCCACTAATTAAGTTCTTTCAATTTACACCAAGTCAATGAGCTTGTGACCTTGACGGGGACCTTTATGCTAAAAATAGCTTTATGTCTGCAAACTTTAACTATCGCCATAACGTTTGAACCATGAAAGATAGAGTCTTCATATTTGGTATGCGTACTCCACTTATTAAGCTCTTTTAGATGACATCACGGTCAATGATCTTGTGACCTTGATTGTGGCCTATATGCTAAAAATAATTTTTCGTCTGCAAACTTTAACTTTCAACATTACTTCTAAAGCATGAGAGGTAGAGACTTCATATTTCGAATGCATACTCCACTAATCAGGCTCTTTCAAATTACATCAAGGTCAATTACCTTGTGACCTTGACTGTGACCTATATGCTGAAAATAGCTTTTTCGTACTTTCGCCCTAACTTTTAAACCATAGGAGATAGAGACTACATATTTGGATTGCATACTCCAAGTTAATCAAGTTCTTTCAAATGACACCAAGGTCAATTACCTTGTGACCTTGACTGTGACCAATATTCTAAAAATAGCCTTTTTTAAAAAAACTTTGTTACCGCCAGGCGCACAGTGTTTCACAAACACTTCTTGTTTCCATTCATGAAGAGTGTACATTTTACTTTCAAAGTAAGTGTCCTGTTCTTCGAAGTATGTATTATTTTGATGGTATTCAATTAACTCTGTTTTCTTGTAGATCGTTATATGTAACATTACCGTGAATATAACGCATGGCATTGGAGTAAGACGTCGCACACTAACATATGATAGCACTTCTGGGAACTGTTTCTCCCTTCCTGCAGCGTATAATGTTCTATAATGTCAAACACACATCGATCACATGTAAACATGTGTATTTTCATTAGTTTTTAAGAAATGTTAAAGTCAGTTAATACAAAATTAGATGCTTAGGTTAATGTACAAATATTTTTGGACTTCTTTTGATTGTAAATGATGTAAACATAAATTTACATGTATATGTCACAAGTATTTTGAATCTTACAAATAGCCTTTCATGGAGAGTTTGTTCTTTACATTTGTTTGAGTATAGGTCTTAAGTTGCGATCTTCCACCGGAAAGTTGCCCTTGTCAATAAAGACAATTGCCTCTGTGTACTAACTTTATTACCTTATTTTGAATGTATTACCTGACGCCAGCAAAAAGAGTACCATTGGCAGCTCCAAATGTTGAGCACATGACAAAGATCGGCATTATGATGGCGACCTGCTTTCCAAGAACGATTTTACCCCAATCCTGTCAATAATTATGCACATCTATGAGGTTCATTAAAATCATACTCTTTCATGATGCATGATCTTATGAATAATTTATTGAAAGATTGAGAAGAGCACTGTATGCAGTAAATCATCTTTTATTCGCTATATAATAACTATTTTTACGTAATTACTATGTGTATCGTCAAGTGCAAATTAAATTTTCTTATACAGTGTACTTACGGAACGACTTCAATAGCTAGCCATGTTTTGCACCGAAAATGAACCAGGGTAATACAATTTTAACTTGGACAGCTTTCAAATTCATTATTTATAATTTAAGTTTCAACCAATTGCAATGAGTGTAGAAGATAAGATATTTTTCCTTCAAATATGCCGTTTAAAAACTTATATTAAAAGAATTGTCAAGCGTATTCATTCATTTAAAATATTGTGACTTGTCAAGCGTATTCATTCATTTAAAATATTGTGACGTAGGCAACGCAGTTTATAAAATGCAAATCAATTTTCCTTTCCAGTACCAAATGGAGTGTTTAAACCAAAATTTAATTCTTACAATTCATAAATTATAAATAACAACTTTACAACAACCGAAATTCCGCAAATTTTTACTGGAGTGCAGTAGTTAGACAAAGTAATTGCAAAATATATTGGGATTTAATCTCCTCTGTTATGATATAAAGGTAAAATACACATTTCACAGGTTCTAAAATATAAGTAATATGAAATTTTGGTAAATCGTATGCTGTTTATTCTAACCTTGCATAGATGTTAAGAAGGAGGTTGATTAAGATTTCATTTTGTTACAAAGCACCTGTAATTCAAATTTAATTCCTTTTTTTTAATTGTTATTTTACGAGACTCACCACAGCAACTGCGTGGGAATTGAGAAGCCCATCTTTTCCTAGAACAGCTAGATATGAAATGTTGGTTAAAACGTAGATAATAGTCACCAAAAGTACTCCCATGGTATTAGCACGGGGTAAATTTCTGCAAGAAAAAAATATCATGTTTGGGAAAGCCTAGAAAGCCAAATCAAGATGCGTGTCTCCCAATGAATATGGAATTCAAAATCAAGGAACATGCTTCCAATTATTTTTCCGATAGAGAGAATACTAACACTAGTATTTGCTACAGCTGAACTTCGAAATCTCAAACACAAAAAAAACCTATAGTTGAATTTCGGAATTTCAAACACAGATATCTCGAATATCATGGATAATTTGAATAAAAAATAACGAAAGTCATCGATCTCATAAAAACTAGATATTATACATTTAATCCATCCGACAAAATGTCTCTTCTTTTTCAAATAAGAGTAAAAACCAAGCATCGTTCATGGGTAAAACACACTGTCTTAGAGCTTTGAAGGCTATTTGCTTGACGTACGACTACCGGCTTGAAATCTCTTATATGTTATGCAATGAATAGCTTATATTCTGTGCCATTGCTTGCTGATTCGATATGAAGCAGTAATGAGTTGTTATCGGCAATAGTCTTATTGATAAATTATAGTGGTAATAAACACCCGAAATTTCGAGGAAATGTATACGTAGCGATGAAAATTTTCGCAATGTAGCAGAAATATTGACCTCATGGTAAATTCCCCTATCCTCTTCTAATACATTTAATACATCAACTACATATTAGCTGCCTTTCTTTACCACCCCCTTAAACAGTTTTAGAAATAAAATTTTGATTAAAAATTCAAACAATAAATCTTAAGATTATAGTTATCTCAATGTTGAAAATAAGACTTTATAGCACAAATATTTTAATTATTTTGACTGTTTTCACTTACGTGAGAGGATTTTTTAACTCTTCTGTAATGAAATTCAAATTATTCCTACAATTAAAAACAAAATGCATACGAGTATAATATTCAAAATGTTTGAAAACAATACAAGGGGAGTTAGTTGGACAGAATTCTTATTGCTTTTCTATTCTTTATATTATTATTATGTCGCTCGATATTATTATTACTGTAAAATCACATATTTTCGTTGGGTAAAATTTTCGTGGTTTAAGGAAAATCTCTTGGTTCGTGGGGATTTGATTTCGTGGATCAAGGATTAAGTATGTAACATTTTACATTTCGTGGTGGACATGAATTCGTGGGTCTTGTCATACCTCGAAAACAACGAAAATTAAACCCCCACGAAAATTTGTGATTTCACAGTATGTCGTTCGACATATTGCGATTGTACGCATGGTTTTTTTGTCCAGGCTGTTTCTCGGAGATGGCTGGGGCAATATTTCTGAAACTTTCCTCAAAGGACGACCACTGGTTGCAGTTGTGTTGTGTGGTCATTCAGTTTCAAAATGGCTACCGTTGCCATGGAAACCTGCAAAAAGCGACGAATTTTGTCCGCGATTGTTCTCTCTGGTCCCTTAAACATTCGTCATGAAACCTTTTTTTATTTTAATGATTAGTATCTGTAGTTGTGCGATTCGCATTTAAAATTTTCAAATAATCGATTATTGCCATGGAAACCAAGGGAAAGTGAAAATTCTGTACTTTGATTTTTAAATCAAAGTACTGAAAGTACTCAAAGGACTGATACGAATTGATGGTTGTCCAAGATCAGCTAATGTGTATTGTTTTATTGATACAAAAAATGAAAGTCTTATCCACTTCGGGGCGACATACGCAGTCGCTATTGCTTGTAATAGCAGACTTTCTAGGTTATAGTTATTATTATTACTACACGTATTTCATTTCATTTTTTTTTTGGTTATAGCGCAACATATTTCAATGCACTTTTGGAAATCAAACAAACCAGAAACGTCTTTATTTCCCAATTTTGATATATTGTGTAGAAGGATTTTCAGGACAGCATATCTACATTTAATATATATCAGATGCGGAAATCATACCATTAGCACTTCTCACTTAGATTATTTTGAAATAACGAATTCATGCACAATATCACATTAAATTTTCAAGCTGGCACGTAATCCCGAATAATTATTGCGAAAAACAGTGTCAACTTGCGTTACATATATTGTGTTGATGAACCTTGAGATGAAAATTAGTCTACCACTTGGGTATGATTTGCATTGATGGATAAGCATTTATTTACCATGCATCGTAAGCCCACAAGGCATCGTAGAAAGCTAGAACTATTCCAGACGCAGAATTCGTTGAGCCTTCAAATCCTTTCTGAAACGTTTTCACCTCCCCTAAAGTGTAAATATGAGAAACATGAGAAAATGTATATGAAACGACGTACAATTATTTATGCATTAATTGGAGCATTAATCAATTGAAGCAAGATAATCAGCAGTCTCGTCTAAAATCATCATTTCGTTAGTTGTACGGTTGAAACAATGGCCTAATCAGCTAATATAATTAATCATTAAGTAAAATGCTGACTGACTTTTTTCATACTGCTTGTAAGGTCATTATTTACACGCTGAATTGTCAACGGATTTTTCCTTTTTCTCGAACATGACAAGGTGCACGCGGCGGCTGTGATGCTCACTACTCTAACTCCTGGTACCTGATCCCACCTCTGATGTTTAAGAGGTCCACGTTTGCTTTGCTCCTATTTGTAATATGATGTTTTTAATGTTTAACCCCTTCCCTGCAGTCACGCATGTTAACGCATATACCATTTCCTATTTCTAACGCAAAATCACGCGTTTACCTTTTCCCGCAATCACGCATTTTTCACGCACTTTAAAAAGTACTAATCTTTAATTTAATGCCAATTTCCTTCTATTTTATATTTGCTAAAGTCTCATAAAACTAGAGGTACTGTGAGCAATGACCTCACTAAATGATACCCCCGCCTCCCATATGGTTATAATGGCAAAGTCCATGTTTTGCTGTGGCCGGGAAACCCAAAATTTGAGTCGGATCAAAAAGTAAAATAGGACGTGCACAATGGCAATATGTAATAAAGATTCTGTGAAAGTTTCATTAAATTTCACTCCGTGGTTTAAGAGGAGTTGCGGATAAGAGATGGGTACCCCAAAGCGTAACAGACAGATAGACGGACGGACGGTCATACCGAATACAGTATACCCTCCCACTTTTCAAGCGGGGGTATAATAACATTAGTTACACAGTCAGTTAGTGACCTAATACGGATTCATACCATAGGCGCTTGGTTACAGGATGGTGTTTTGTGTATTATGTGATTTTCTATGTGTGCCTGAATACCCTCATTAAAATAAAAATAAAAATTCGCCGAAATTAGCACGTTTTAAAAAATGTCATATTTTACTGTATATAAAAAGAGTAAAGGAGCGTCACTCGCCATCTTGAAAATCAGGGGGTGCCTCGGTTCACACTTGATTTTAATCAATATCTACATTTTTCCTACCACAAAACACCATCCTGTAACCAAGCGCCTATGATTCATACAGGGTGTGAAATGGAAATCCGTATTAACAGATTTCCATTTCACTGTAAGTTGGTCGTTAAACTGACTGTGTTACGAATTTATCCCGCTGAAGACCTTTTTCAATATAAAAAAAATATTTGTGCATATTATGAAAATATTAAGTTTTAAACCAATAACAATCAACATAAAATATCGTTACGGTAACAAGAAATTTAACTAAACTACCTACGTAAACCGTTTCTTCACTCGGAGTTCCTCGGATGACTCGTACCTCGCACATAACCTCGGACGTCAACGGTGAGTTACCATCTTGCTGATTCAGTCATGTGATCTTATTTGAATTTCTTTCAAATATCATACATTTGAAATCGGCGTTATTTTATGACACACTCAACATTTTTTTCTTGCTTTCAAAGCCTATCTACATGAGTTTGTAATCAAAACCTGTTTGATAAATAATTCACAAATTAAGAAACATTTTCAAAGAACGTTATGCAGAGCGAAATATGAAATGAGTGATAAGGCAGTTTCCGGCAGACCTAATGTAATACCAATTCCGAGGTTTTAAAGTACAGTGTATGCCGTTTCTTAGCCGCCATTTTTATTTACAATAACAACAAAATAATTTTAAAAAATTAAGATAAAATTTAGACAAGTCATGTTATAGCTTTTATAAAATCGACAAATTTGTAAAAGGTAGGATAAGAAAAGTTATTTTCTTATTAAAATATCACGTCATACTATTATTTACTCTTAACTTTTAAGAAACTTGTACAGCGCTATAAAGTACTTGCGGGGAAAAAGGTAACGTGATATTTCTATGACGTGAACATAAAGTGTAACAGTTCAGTAAGTTGGGTGTTTGAGCTAAATTACTGCCCGTTATCTCCACATATTTTACTGTAAAGAGACTTTTAATAAGCTTTAAGAATACATGTTACCTTTCCCTAGCCAGACAAGACCGCCAGTAACAATGATGATGAGAGCTATAAGCTTAGCTACGGTGAAAAAGACCTGTACCCTGGCCGCAAACTTCGTGTCCCAGCAGTTGATTATCGCAAGAGTTACTGTTGAAGAAAAAAATACGCCAGACCTAATGTAATAGTTGTTAAAGTACAGTGTATCTTTGCTTTTCCAAAATAATTTTAAAAAATTAAGATAAAATTAGACAAGTTGTTATATCTTATAAAAGCGTTTAAAAGGTAGGTTAGATGTTATTTCTTATATAAAATACTATTTAATTACGTATAAGGCATTCCTTTGGATATCAATGCGTCAATGTTTAAATCGATCAAACTTAATGAGCTGATTTAAGAAACTTAATCAATTAATACGTATTAACAGATATCAATGCGTCAATGTTTAAATCGATCAAACTTAATGAGCTGATTTAAGAAACTTAATCAATTAATAATTAACAGTTACGGGTGTGTTTTCAATCTATTTTTCGAGAAAGTTATGCGATGAAAACTAAATATAGATACACATTTTCTAAAATGTGCAATTTCTTACTCATTGCAAGAGCAGCAATCACTTTCTTTGGTACAGGTTGTTCTCCACACAAGTCAAATAAAGCAATGAAATATTCTGCAAAGGTAAGACAGATAATGGCCATGGACGATGGATTCAGCACTATAATCTTGGTCCAGGCAAATAGGTAAGCCATCATCCTCCCCATTGCAACCATTATATAACTGTACTCTCCCCCTGACTTTGGAATTAGTAGTCCGAGTTCCGCATAGGAGAGTGAACCTACAAATACATGTATGATCCAAAAGAATTTTAACCTCTGTGTTTACATAACACTAATGTCTATTTGCAACAAGCCAACTCTTAAAACATTAAGATGTAAATAGATGGATGAGGGTACCTGTGAGAGATAAGAGACCTGCTGCTGCCCACACCACAAGACTTAACCCCACAGATCCGGACTCCTGGAGCACCCCCTTAGGGGAAATGAAAATACCCGAACCTAAAAGACATTGTCATTATAGTCAGAGGTTCTTATAGTGTTCATATAACAGTCCTGTAATGTTAGAGGTTTTTACCTGATACCATCCCTTGATGTGGGGAATATTTACATTTAACTCTATGTTTCTAACCTATCATATTTCCATAATTTCTTACTAAAACAATGATATAGGATTTTGCTATCTATAACAATTCCAATTAAAAAAAAATCTTACCTATTACAGTCCCATGAAGATGGAGGGTCTTACCTATAATAGTCCCTACGATTATAGATGTTCCACTGATCAATCCCAGGTTTCGTTTAAGCCTAACCCCACCCTTAATTTCCACGTTTACTGGTGGGGCCTTTCCACTGTTCATCCCCCTTTGTGATAGCTCCATATTTATCCTTCTACCGCATAGACAGGTATTACAACAGACCCCCGGTATGCAGTGACATGTTTTCCATACAAAATGTGGAGAGCTTTCAAATATTACCACCAGCTGCAGCAGAATAAAGTTATTGCAGAGTCCAGATTAATTTTGTTAATTTTGTACTTGTTTATCATCTTAAGATCACAAACGTTTATGTAGAATGCCTCATTTAGTTACGTAATCATTCTACAGTGTATTAAGTGATAGTTGAAAGGACTCCAAGTAAGCTTGAAAAATATATTTGTAGTAACAATTTATATATAAAAGAGCAATGTATGTATAGACGGAAAAAGAGGAAGAAAAAACCCAGGATGAATGTTTTATTCTATGTTTTATACATAAGACTTTATTGGCGAATAGATGTGTGTTCTTCTGAATATGCTCTTTTACAAACTTTCAAGATTTTCAATCTTAGATTTACAGGAAAGATTTCCAACATGCACCTTTATGAAACGATAAATATTTGTATATTTTTAAAGGAAATCAAATGTTTTAACATCCGTCCATTTATCATAAGCCTCTCTTAGTTTGTTCTAGAAAGTTTAAGCGTTTTACACAGATGAGTGTCCGAAACAGAAATGTCAATAAACATTCATATTTGATGTCATTTGACTGAGAACTTTCAATTCAAAGACTCAATAAATTACGTGTGACACGAAAAAATTGAGAAAAAAAAATTAAACAAAAGATCACATTTACTTCTCCATGTTCTCATATAGTTAAGTATTTCTATATCAATTGCAATTGCATAAAAAATATAATAATTTGTATTCTTAATGATAAGAGCTAATGATCATTTTGGCATTTCAATGCCATACATAACATGTGCATTTGGTACAAAATACTTATTTGATTAATACAAAAAAAAAAAACTCGGTCATTGCTATAAAAGGGATCAGTATACATAATTAGCTGACACATAAAATTTCCTTGCTTCCTGTATCTAAGACCGTAGAAATTAATAATGCACGTTAAAGCAAATGCTTGTTAAATACAACGACAAGAAATGATTAGATAAAAAAAAAATAATAATTAAGGACGATATAACACATATTGGGGCTGTTTTACGCTTTATAAACCGAGCGGTTTATAAAAAAGCGTAAACTGCCCCAAGTTATTTTTTAAAAATGTTATCAAAAAAGCGTAAACTGCCCCAAGTTATGTTATATCGTATAACATAGATTAAAAAAAAGCTTCATTCCTTATAATTTAATTTCTGTGGAGACAATAAGACAATTTCCCCTCCAAAAATGACCTCACATTGAACATAATTTTTATCTTAACGTCAAGCGGAGTCATACGTTTTTGACGTAACTCATTGTAACGTAGGTAATTTATGTTGTTCAATATAAAATAAATATTCTACCCAATCAAATGACCTGTTACAACTAAAATAAAATATAAAAATAACTATTAAATAAATACTTTTTGCTCGATCCATCAGGCGGTGAATTTGTCTACAAAATAACAATTATCGTAATTAAACCAATTTATTGCACTTAATTCTATTGTACAAATGCATGATTCACCAGAGGATTTTTTTTAAAAGCCATTAAAAATAATAAACCAGGATGTCCTTTTTATGCGGAAGAACTTTTTTTATCATTTTTTCCTAATGTACACAGTGCATTATTCTAAATGATACTTTTATAAAAGATTTTATGTGAAAAAATTAAAAAGATACCGCTAATCATACGTTTATTTGCAATTGCTTTGGGATTTAATAGAAGTGTCTTCGCATTTTGGTTTTATTAAATGATATAATTATGATGTTGAAATCATCAAACAGTAATTAATAATGGACAACGGAACAGATTTTAATTTGATTGTAATGTCTATGAATTATAACTTAAGCAAAAGAAAATATAAGAACCATGCAGTAAATAAAATTTAAGCGGAGGAAGCATAATCACTTATCATTGGAATTCAAAGATGTTTCACAAAAGTTATTATTCACTCATGTCGAAACATTGTCTAGAGAGTATTTTCTATGTAAAACATATAGAGATAACAAACATTATTCAAGATAAAAGTCCATAAATAAATACAAAATCGGAGCAGACCTCCAGAATATCAGAGGGGTGGGATCAGGTGCCATGGAGGTGTGAGCATCCCCTGTCGGTCACACCCACTGTGTGCTCCTTGTCATGATTGGGGAGATACGGAAAAATCTGTAGTGTCGTCAATTCAGTGTATAAATAATGGACTAACAATTAGTATGAAAAACAGTATGTACGATCAACAGATGAAGATTCCTTACAGATTAAATTTTATTCATCTCATTTTAAAAGATTCTGTTAAATCCTTGTTTCATCAACTTCTTTATAACTATAAAAAGTTTGCCTCGTTTTAGAAATTGTTTGTAAGTAGCACATTCTCTTGCGTGTCAAATCAACTGGGAGATATAACCCATCTGCAAGTTGAAGAGAGAAAAAGAGGACACATTTGTCTGGCAGACTGCAAAGTCCGATGCTGACGGCGAAGTCCAATGATCTGCGCCAAACTCCGATGGTTTAACTATTGTCGGAACGGGCGCCAGAGTCCAATGGTCAAGCCAAAGTCCGACGGCTTGTTTCCTATGAGAAGCGCTTCTTTGCTGAAGTGCTATGGTCCGATGCAAGCTTTAGACAGCTCAGTATTTCGTTTCGCTAGAACTCCAGCCTGTGGCAGTGGCATTATTCGTAGGAAAAGTAATCCCGGAGAATTGACACTGTACGGAGTTTGAGTCCGATGGTGCCGAGAAACAATTAACGTTTATGACGTCTCAATTATGAAACATGTGAAAATAACAAACAGTATTTAAGATCAAAAGTCCATAAAACAATAAAAAACAGGAGCAGAACAAACATGGACCTCCAAAACATCAGAGGTGGGATCAGGTTCCATGGAGGAGTGATCATCTACTGCCGACCAGTCACACTGGTCGTGTGCTCCAGGTCATGATCGGGAAATAACGGGAAAATCTGTCGTCCATTCAGTGTATTAATAATAGATTAACAATTAGTATGAAAAACGTTAGTCAGCATTTGACTTTCGATGTATCAAGACTCCAAAGTGCGATGATGACGCCAAAGTCCGATGATCCCGCCAAACCCCGATGGTCTGCGCCAAACCCCGATGGCTCGCTGTCTTTACAAAGTACGATGGTCACGCCAAAATCTGATGGCTCGTTTCCTATGAGACACTTGCGCTAAAGTGCGATGGTCTGATACGCCAAAGTCCGATGGTGTGGAGGAACAATCAATGTTTATGACGTCGCAATAGTCCGACGTCATGCCATTGCCCTGCATTCAAATCCATTGAATCAGTATTCATCTCATGTATACAATTTTTTGCTTATTGTTTACACCCACTACAGGCATTAATAAGGGTTAGTCCTCACAAACAACTCGAGATTTTAGGGTAAGCCTAGTCCTCGACTGACTTGGATTAGTCCAGCAAACATCCAAGATATTTAGGTTATAGTTAGTGAATATTACGCATATTTCAACTGATTAGGGTTAGTCTCGCACTTATATCCAAAAGATGAGGGTTAATCTTTGCATTTAATATTTATTTGTATTTATTTTAAACAATCGGGCCTTGGCAAGGCACGGCATTGGAATTTTCCGCAGTAGTACTATGACATCATAAACTTTAATTGTTTTCTCCACCATCGGACTTTGGCGTGTCAAACCATCGGGGTTTGGCGCAGACCATCAGACTTTGGCGTGACTATCGGGCTTTGGAGTCCCATTTCACTTTGTAGTCCTACATATCTAATTGAGGAGTTAAAAGCCACAGCATTTTGCAAAAATTATGCTTCATATGAATTCAAAAATAGGTCTGCTAATAACGGAGCGCAATTGGTAACCGTGGGAATTCCAATAGATTGTTGGAATACCTGGTCTCCAAAAATCATATAGATATTGTCAATCAGAAACTCAAGCATCTTTTTATGTCAACTTCAGAGTACTTGTGTTTGCAATCAGAATGTTTTTTAACAAAATAATTCTGCAAATGACCAATGACCAGGTAAATAAATTTACGAGTTCCACTTTTATTGAAAAAGCAGCTATCAATAATATCAAACAGTCTGGACCTTAATTTGTCGTGGGAAATGGTTGTTTATAATGTTGAAAAGTCGAAAGTTTTTACGCTGTTGATTTTGGCAAAGTCTTGCATTTGATATCAAATTGTCCGAAAGTTCCTTTGAATTTTTAAGTAACAGAAAATTAAATGACCACTTTTAAATTTATTTACATCATAAATGATGCCTTTAACTAAGCGATACAAACCCTTTAATTTAATGTTTTTTTTGCAATTTTAAGACATGTATGATAGTATAAAAAATTTCAGTCCCACGAGTGAAATCAATAATATCCTTCACAACTAGAACACTTTGAAATTTATATTGAAAATATTTTCCTCTATATTGGTGAAGTCGGTTGAAACATCATAGCTCAACATTGTGACATCTTTTCAGTATTTCTACCGCCTCGTATAATAGGCTAATTATAGAGATACCACATAGAGATATAGTTGCTTAAACACTCTTCGTGAAGGGAAGGGAAATGGATAAAGTTTTTGCCTCTTTTCATGTTTTTCACAGTACAAAATGTATCGCTTTGATATTTTGACACACGTAAATAAATCCCACTTTATTTGCTTTCATAAATTACAGTTTTTTACAGTTTGTTTTGTTTTTCTTATCGGGCTCTGCTAATATTTAAACAAATGTATCAATCAAAATAGACTTAGAGAACTTACAGAATATTCATCACTTAATCATCGAATCATATAATAAAACAATCAATTTTAGGGGTTTTTTTAGTGAATATGATGAATTAATTACCAATGGAGTAGAATATTCATCTTGCCCTTCGGGTAAATATTATACTGTACTCTCCAGGTTGGTAAATCATCGTATTGACCTACAAAAATAATGATTTTTATAAAATAGTTTACAGATTATTGAACATATGATGTCCTCAGCCTTATCTGTGGTAACTATAGAGGTAAACTTACCACTAGACTTGCTCAAGTCTCAATGCATTATTATGAATTCTTTTTATCATTTTTATATTGCATTCATCTTCTCTCTATAATATTTAAATGTTATCAAACATCTATAGATGTTTATATTAAAAATATAAAAGAGAGCACTAAAACGTACAGACTTGAGCAAATCTAGTTTACCACATCTGAGCAGCAGGATCGTATGAGAACATTTTTAACTCGTAAATATATGGGGAAAAAACTCAACTGGTTTTTCCAGATACAAAACATTTTATTTTTAAAATTTCAAAAACATATTTTATTGTAAATATATGTATATGTACAAAATAAAATATACATTAAAAATATACAGTAAATGATATAAATAGCTAACTTAAGTTTGTACTTCTTTGATTATACATATATATACTACAATCGATCTAATTAATGTAATAAATAATACTTATAATATAAAAGCACCTGTTTAACTGGTATCATGGGTAAAGAATGTACAATAGACATTTACTTTAACAATGGAATCTTTGGTTTTGTAACACAGGGATTTTCAAACAAAACACTAGGAATTCTGACTTTTTAAAAAGTTATGTACATATAACAAATAAATCTTGAAGTAAACGTAATTTAATTTTATAATCACATCTTCCAAGTAAATTCAATAAAGAAAACATAACTATCAACAAGGATGTTGGTTTTTGAAAAAAAAATTAAAGTTAAACGATGGTTAAAATGGCAATCGGTAAAGATAAGTTTTCAAACCAGACTCATTCAAAAAAGTTACATAAATTAGAAATACTTCCTTTAAACTGTTTAAGGAGACAGCAGACCTCAATTATTTATGATCATCCTTCCCCCAAAAAATGAATCCCATTATATCCAATAACTTATCTTTTCCCACAGTCCTTTGTATTAAAAACAGAATAATGTTTAACTTAACAAGGTTTAGCTGAAAAAGAGATGAGAATTTTACTATGTATTTTGTCTTGCTTTACATTTCCACATGAATATTGGATTTCTTCAGAGTAAACATATCTGAAGTTGTGCTAGTCAAAATCAGGCACATACGGACTTGGACCAACTTCCAGAAACAGTTGAAAGAATAGCGTAACCGGATCTAAAGGGGAAAAAAAGAGACTTCAATATTTTTTTACCGAATGATTGTAATTGTTTCAATATTCAAGCTCTAAATTCTAAAAAAAAATCAAATGTCAAGTTTCATGATAAATAAATGTATCGACTTTTTAGTATAGCCAACTTAATTTAACTATAGTTAACCAAAATGAATCTGTGCTTGGGTAGTTTTTGTCAACACTTACCAAAACAACCTTTGTGAATCTTAAAGTGAACTAGTGGTATGTACAGCAGAAGTCCACCAACAATAAACAGGAATGCGTATAGAAACTCTAGTCTAGGGTCTTGTATGATCGGAGCCACCACCAAGTACAGTGAACACAGCAAGAAAATGACCGGAAACAGGATAAAGATCTGTAAAATTCAAATATATCATGACGACTTTGATTCCTAGAATTTACAGTACTTTTAGCATAAATCAAAGACTATTTAAAAGAACTCTGCAGCTGAAGAGAAAAAGTGAACTTTTGCGACGGGCAAGTATTACAAAGTTATATGTGACAATAGAAGGTCGAGTTTTAATTTCAATATTTTTATGTACTTTAATTTATCAACAGAAGAGATAATATCTATATTTCCTTTACTTATCGCTATAAACGTTGTAAATTACATTCTCTTACTTAACAAAATATTCATCCAAATTTTGTACTCTTTGAAAACGTTTGTGTCAATTTAATATTGACGTCAATAATTGTTTGATTGGTTGAAATGTTATTGTTACTTTAATTGGTCTTTTACGGTCCTTCCATTTGAACCTCAGTATAATTAGACATATAATGGCTAAAGCATAAAACATCCAGGCAGCAAAGCTAAAGAAGTCGATCAGACTTCCAATATCTCCTGGAATTAACATCAGAAGGGCAATCACCGTCTGAAATAGATGTAAAATACGTATTTTGTTTGAAATTAATTTGATAGAAGAAAAGATACCTTTTTTGATCATTAAGTAGCTAGCATTTGAAATCATTTCATAATTACAGCCCTCATTGATAATTTAAAAGTATTACCGTAAATATAATACATGGGATTGGAGTAAGACGTCGCGCACTGACGTATGATAGCACTTCTGGGAATTGGTTCTCTCGGGCAGCAACATACAATGTTCTGTAATGTATACATTTTGAGTTTAACCCCTTCCATGGCAAAGATTTTGAGCATTTCTAGACAAATTGATATGAAGATTTCAATGCATTTTTGGAGGTATTTCTTTTAATTTTTGTATATGCCAATGTATATATATTCTGAAAGTAGGTATTGTGATGGTTCTGAAAATGATTATAAATATTTCATTTCTGTTGCCATGGCAATGAAATACACCCATAATCATGCTGGAATTTCCATTTATTAAATAATGAGTATCATTCTAGTTTTTTTTTCCTTAGTTAAATATATAAAAAGATATTTTATTGTTTTGTTGAAAATTATAAATATGTTGAACATTATTTTACAAACCAATTTTAAGTACCGGTATTTTGGGGGGATTGGGTAGGGTGTGGATGTAAACACCAAAAATCCAGCATTTTTACATATAACGTGATACCCCCAGATTGATTTGGATAATGGCAAACTCACTCAAATAGTGCGCACAGTTTTACTCAAGTTAGCAATAAACTGGTACAACTAATAAAAATATTTCTTGTATATTATTTAACCGTATTCATTTTCTCTTTCCAACGGTGCAAGATTTATTAACAAAGTTATGAATGTTTTTTTCACACTATACTTGTTTTTCAAGTTATAAGCGTAGAAATGCGTATATGCCATGTAAGTACCTTTTACATACGAGGGGTGATCAAAAAGATCGCGAATTCTATATTTACAAAACCACGCTTCAGATCAGAATGAAATTTGGCACACCTATAGTCATGCACATGTTCTATAAATAGCATATGAAAAGTAATGAGTTTCTTAATTATTGTGACGTCACAATGTGAAAATGACGTCAATATGTAGGTGACTCGTGACGAAAAATGGTTTTCAGTCTTACTCGAGCAACAAACGGCCGTAAAGTTTAACTTATAACTTGAAGAGTCCTTTGAAGTATCTTATAATGATTTGTACAAGGTTTATGAAGACAACAGACTTTCCAGACGTTCAGTCATAAATTGGATTGATTGTTTTAGTGAAGGGAGGGAGATGGTTAAAAATGACGTTTGTTTTGTAGCCCAGCGAAAGCAAACTGAGGAAGAGATGTGCGTTTTGTTAGGCAACTTGTTATGAAAGATTGTGATATTTACAGCTAGAAAAATGGTTGAATATCTTAACAATTATATAATTACTAAATCCCTAGAATATCGTTTATTTTAGACTTTTAACATATAAGATATGATAAAAAGAAGGCACCCGTACTTTATCCACATTGAATAAACGACGCAACAAAAAAAGAGGACTTGGGTGTTGATGGTAACCGTGCTCATTCTTGAAAAGGATAATCATTATCCACCCATACTATTGCCGAAATTTGGCCACTTCTGATAAATGGATTGTTTTTGTTATAAAAAAAAATAACTTGCATAGTATGAAATACACAGTAGGAAAAATCTTTCAGCTTCTGTGATAGAACGCTACGAGCATGTCACGTGACAGCCTACATCACGTGATCCGCGCATGGACGGAACGGTTGAAGATGCACGTTGAAATCGGAGAGGACTACTTTAAAAAATATTCAACACAGAAGCCCTATATCATTTCTATTTCTAATGTAATACAATTTGCTCGCAAACTTTTTGATCGCCCCTCGTAGATATGAATGGCTTATTTTTGTGCTTACAGTTTAGCTTTTAAAGCCATCCCCTGTATATGACTGCTTTTATACATAAAAAATACTAGTATATAATTGTAAGATTCCCCACCCCGGCCCTGTTTATCAAGTCTGATCCCGCTCTTAATATTTTACCTTTTCCAAACTTCAATATGCTATCAAACCCTGTAATTAACAGATTCAAAATATTTAAAAAGTATTATGATGTATATATTCAAGATCTATTCGCTTGCACGGACTTTACCGAGTGTAGACCGTCAGATTAGAACAATCTTAACCTTTATGCATCGATAGGCTTGTTTAAAAGAAAAAAAAAACGTGCGGGACGGGGCAAAAAGAGACAGAAGCGCGGCTTGTAGCACGTGAATTTGTGGAATTAGATTTTTGGTTTCATGACGATGAGCAATCGGTAGGATTTCATGATAATTTGCATTGACCAAAAAATTAGACAATTATCCCTAAAATGAAGATTCATTTATACATGTAAATTCTACTTCTTAAACAGATTTGTTCCCTTTGTTCAATCTATAATAGTACCTGACGCCAGCGAACAGAGAACCATTGGCGGCACCAAATGTTGAAAACATCACAAAGATTGGCATAATGATTGCAACGTTCTTCCCCATTACAATTTCTCCCCATTCCTGTCAAGGTTTATATAAAAAAATTAGATAAAACAAGCAACAGCATTTTGTAGTTTAAAACAAATTTATCATTTTGTTAAATAACAACGGACTGAAACTCTTTGGCTGCCAGGTATAAATCATAACAGCAAATTTATAGCCAAGAGATTCCTGTGGTGCCATCCAAAAAATTACGACACACTTTTACAAATTAAGATTAAAATAAGAGCAACAGCACATTTTTGTGGTGCTATTGATCAGCTTAAAATAGCCACCCTGTAGTATTTTCTTTATACAGTTTATTTTGTAATCTTAATATAATCCAGTTAAAGTTAGTTAATTATATAATAGTGTTGCATTATGCATGTACTATGCCTAAATAGTACAGGGAGAACACATGGTGCACGAGCCGGAGGCAGTGCAAATGTGTGAAAACCTCACAAAGATTAGGCATAGTAATGATAATGCAACACTATTGTTATTATTATGCTGACTGTTGTAATTATTTATGAGGCAATTCATTTGACTTTTTCCTGAAAATATCGGTGCTAACACAGCGCGCTTGCAAGAACTCATTCAAAATCTTCATGTTAAAATTGGTTGCATGCTTAGTTATTCTGATTACTAGTATTTTGTAGTTTAAAGCAAATTTATTTTCTGTTTTGTTATTATATTGTTGTTTGTTTGCAGACGTCGATTCTCATTGATATTTTTTTTACATCCTTCAATCAAGCGTCATATAAAAAAGCGTTTTAATGACCCTATGAAATCAGTTCATCAACGATCTGTGTGTAATTAGTTTGAAACGTTGTTGTATACATTAATCAAGGTCCCTTAGAATAATATATAACTGTTTTCAAATAATATTTGTCTATTTTCTCCTTCTTGTGTCAATTGTATAAATTAAGTTTATATATTTAATAAATTTACACCATTTAGTGATCGTCTCTATGGCGTAATCGATAAGGCATCGGACTGACAATTTCATGGTCGTGAGTTCGATCCCCGGCGTATGCACAGAAGAATTTTCTGTAAATAAGGGCGTGCACTATTTCGGCATAGTATGCTTACGCTATATAAATCCTTAGACCACTATGCGAGAATAGTAGGGTATGGGTTATATAGAGACAAACTGACAGGAAGCATAATAATAAAAGATAAAAGACTTACAACAGCCACGGCACTTGAGTTAAGAAGGCCATCTTTTCCAAGAACAGCTAAGTAGGAAATATTAGCTAGCACATAGATAACTGTGACTAGAAGTACTCCTATTGTATTAGCACGAGGCAGGTTCCTGTAAAGATCCAAAAATACACTACAATCACGGTTATTATATATTGAATTCTATCGGTGGGATTTGAAACATTTAAGTCCCTCAGATGGCATAATCTAGGTATTCATAAAACACTTACTGAGTCAGATTTGGTTCATGCATAAGGTGGAGAAATAAAGATGAAAAAACAAAGAGTCATCACGATCAATAGTCCTTTAAAACAATACAAATTTGGGGCAGAGCAAACGCAGGACTCTTTTCAGAGATGAGACCAGGTGCCATGCATGAATGAGTAAACTTACCCTGTCGATAGGTCACACACAGCGTGTGCCCCTTCCCACAATCCAACAAACGGAATAATCCGTTTGTGTGATTGTGTGATTGGTAAATGCATGCATTCTCAAATACCAATGATATTCATTTTTTAGTGGTACAAAATAACTATCCATTAACTCAATTGTGACAGCCACCAATATTTTTCATGCATCTCAAATATAAAAGAATTGCCCTGCAAATATCAAAACAAGTTTTTCTTACTTACACATATGGATTTTTCAGCTCTTCTGTAATATAGTTTAAATTGTTCCTGCAAAGAAAATTATTTTTTGTCAATATATTAGACAAAAAAAGAAAGAAAGCAGTTCAGGAAAAAAAATGCAGAAATACAATGCCTTTGGAAATAAAAAAATTAAATATTAACTACATAATTAAAATGCTTTGCATGAAATACGAAGATAACAATAAATCGTTTATTAAACACATTATAAAGTTTGATAATGGTCATCTCCCTTTTAAATAAAAAAAGTCAATTTATATTTTTATGCATCGGAGAACGATGCATGCATTTACAGCTGACAAATTCCAGCAAATCTTCTAAATCATGATATATAGGAATAAAAAAAAAATGAAAATATATCCATTCGGCATTTTTCCTCTCTTCAGAAGCAACATTTGTTTAAAAATTCCAGAATTGTAAGTATTCTTGACAATGTTTGTATGTTTGTTCGTTGGCGTACCTAACAATTTTACCGAATTTTTCAGTAAATGAAAAAATACGTAGGGTGAGTTCACCATACATCGGACACATACCTTGCTTCGGACAACTTTAGGCATTAAACTCTCTTTCAACTTAAGAGTTCTGTGTATTTATTTGTTTCTGTCGTAAAGATGAAGATTTAAATTTTTTAATGATACCGATTGTGTTTGTCATGTTGAGATAAAAATACCCCACAAATGGCCTTGAAGTTACGTCATATTTTACATCATCAAAGGGGAATAACCCAAAATTTATGATTTTGCAATTTTCAGAGTTATCGTTCTTTTAAATTCGACTTCCTCGGAACGAGTCGGACTTTGGTGAATTTTGTCAGGGATTGGTAATTTTACATAAATTATAAAGAAATTTCACTTCAATGTTTGTTTAATTCTTATTAGAGCTGGTTTTTACTAATGCTAATTTCACCGTACATCGGACACAAATTGACCATGCATCGGACACTTTTCGATGCAAAGGTAAGCACTACCATTTTCATACAGAACCCAGCTGACAGCTGTTTTTTGCGGAAAAAGAAAATAAAAACTCTATATTTTCAGTCAAAATACAAGTTATTGATATATGACGTCTGGAATTTGACTCAATTTATTTCTACAAACCAGAGTATGATAAACCATGAGAAAAAGGCGCGAATTACCGCATTCTAAGCATTTTAAAGCATTTCTAAGGCAGAGCGATGTAACTTGAATCGTTCTAAATTTGTGCAACTATATCGTCAATTAAATTTTAGATGAGGGTTATTTCTTAGATAAAAGATGAAAATATACCCATATCAAGGATTTTAAAGCACTGTGATAAAGGTACATATTTTTCCGTTTTCAATACCGTCGGTCCGATGCATGGTGAACAATGTCCGATCCATGGTGAATTCTCAGTTATTCCTAAAAACTCGATTTTGGGGGATATTTTCTCAATAAAAGGCATATAATTGTGTCCTAAATTGATATTTTAATCACAAACTAAATGTTGAGGTCCATTTTGATAATTTTCCTTCGGTAGCGATATCGCTAGAACTTGTTGAAGTACAAGGGTATCCGATGCATGGTGAATTCACCCTAATACCTGTTATAATTTAACATATGTTATTATTTCAGGTATTATTTTTTTTTTATTTACTGAAAATTTCATTAAAATTGATTGTTACGCGAACTCCTGTGGTTTGTTTAATGTCCCTTGCGCGAATTTTTCACTCATGCTGAGATGCAATCAGTTGCTGGTGGAGGGCTGCATTAAGACCAGTACTGGACAGCACCTTTTGCGACATGGGACTTCATTTTATAGTGTCTCAAACGAAAGACAGTTTACCACGTCCCGCAGTGGGATTCGATCCTGCGACGTAAGGATCGGCTCCTTACTACGCAAGTCTAGAGCAAACGCTTTACCACTGCACCATGCGAACGACTTCTTCACATCGTTAGGTTATATAAAGAGGAAGTACCATCCGTCATAAGCCCAGAGTGCATCGTAGAAAGCTAGAGCTACTGCTGAAGGGGAATTAGTGGAACCCTCAAATCCTGTCTGTAGTGTTTCCACCTCTCCTAATATGTAAAAACAGAAATTTACCGTAATTGATACAAAATAAAACTACAAGTAATAAATAACCGTTAGCAAATTATTTGGCATTACCTTTCCCTAGCCACACCAGACCTCCAATCACAATGATAAATAGAGCGATCAGCTTAGCCGCGGTGAAAAAGACTTGTACACTGGCTGCAAGTTTCGTATCCCAACAGTTCACTATGGCCAGAGTTACTGAATGTAAAAATAATATAGTTATGAATCAGATGACATAGCTTCTTTCAGAAACTTCTTGTACACTGTACATGTTGTAAGAATGCAAAAAATACCACATTATTTCTTAATTATAAAATAGACATGTGCTGGAACATATTCAAATTCAATATACTGTGTAATTTTACACACTTGTATGTACTTTTAATTAATACATGTAATTAAAGATAAGTGTAATTCAGTTAAAAGACATTTGAAAAAATACTAATCATCCTTTTAACCAAGTAAGTACGAAGGAAAAATTGTTTTATCGTATTTATATGAAAGCCATAAAGAGACATAGGGATTTTCAAAGATGTATAAAAGTAAACTTAGTTCTCGAATTATATAATCCGTTCTCTCGGATTGACAATCTGTTATAACGAATTGCCAATTCGTTCTCACAGATTAGCAATTCGTTCCCTCAAATTACACAATCCGTTGTCTCGGATTGTAATTCATTCTCTCAATTTAAACAATTCGTTCCCTCGTTCCCACGATTAATTATTATTTACCTGTACATATCGGTTATTGCAATACGTGTTTAATGAATAGAATATGGAGTAGTTTACATCCTACTTTTTATTACATATTCAGTCAAAAATGAGAAAACATGAACATATCTCAAATCCAAATGCTATCACTGATATTTGTACAAAAAAGTCTTAGATTTCTGTGTTACATGTATATTTGAATCATTGAAATTAAGCCCTAGTAAAAGTAAACATGGGCCCTGTGTAATTATTTTTCCTAAAATATATATACTTGACTTAATTGCATAAATATCGGAACGACCGGTTGCTGAATCAAAATACATAAAACGCATTAATTGATACAAAGGATTGGATTTTCCAAGCCTTTATACATGTACTCGGATATATGTATATATGTATGTGTAATGAAATTTGAGAAAATGGTTTATCAAAATTATTAGAATGGTATGTTGATTTGTGGGATCGGATTGTGTAATTCGAGATCTCAAATTACAAATAGAAATCTTTAATTATTGATCTGTGAAAACGAATTATGTAATTCGAGATCTCGAATTAAAAATCGAGGGAACGAATTAGTAAATTGTGACGAAGAAATATGTAATTTGCGATATCTCGAATGATAAATCGAGGGAACGAATTGATAATCCATGGGAACGGATTGTGTAATTCGAGATCTCGAATTAATTTTTACTTTTTTGAAAAATCGACGTGTCCCTTCATGGCTTTCGTGTTTTATGTAGGAGTACCATATTCTGCATACTTTAGTATTTTATAAAAACTCTTAATTTTTTATCTGACTTTAATACCTGAAATATATTCCATACCCAATTACAGTTGAACTTCGGTATCTCGAACTCCGATATCTCGAATACCATGGATGTGTCGAAGTGATTTGGAAGTCCAAACCACATATTCTTTAAGTATTTAACCTTTGACATCTCGAATTCCCGGAATCTCGAAGTTTTTTCTCAGTCCCATCAGGTTCGAGATAACGAAGTTTGTATAAATATTGAATATCTTCTTATATATACTTTTTCATACTGTATGTAGTTCCATATTCCAAGGCTCATTCCTTTAATCTCTTTATGTATGGATTTTACCAAAAGAAATAATTATTTGCATTAAATTGTCAATCATCTGTTATCCAAAAGGATCTTAAAACTATAAAAAGACATTGATTGTAATAAGCAATCATCTAAGAACGGGAAAATATGTTGGAAAAATATATATTCGATATAGTCACAAAGTTTAATCTATGTATGAAGGGTTTGATGGAATGGGTTATAAAATATTTGAATCGCATAAAGCATGATGAGGTACATATATTAGGGTATATTCAATGTTTTATAGTTATGTTCCCCAAACGGAGTTTGGGAACATATTGTTTTTACTCGGTTTCTTATTATTATTATTATGTTCCCCAAACGAAGTTGGGGAACATATTGTTTTTACTCTGTTTCTTATTATTATTATTATTATTCCTGGGAAAATTTTGTCCTTGAGTGATCTTGTAAACTACACATCCGACTAAGGTAAAATGTTTTTAGGGTCAATAGACATGTTATGTAGATTTGCCGAACAAAGGTCATTTTGCGCGCACGTGCTTGCAAGAGCGCGCACGTGCAACATGTAAAATGACCGATTTAATTGATATATGCGTAACTTTTTTTATTTTTGATGAAATGCTTTGAAACTCATAATGTAAGGATATATTAGAAGCATAGACAATATGACATGGTCAAAATTGCAAGATCTCACGCGCATGCACGTGCGCTTTGCTCTGATTGGCTGAAACTAAAATCTCAATATCTTTCTTGTTTTTTGAGGAAATCTTTGAAATTTTGAACATAGCCATGCGTTATGATATCCTACAACATGAGATATAGAAATTATCATGAAAACACGTGCATGCACGTGCGCTGCAATCTGATTGGCTGAAACTTTTAAAAGCTATAACTCCCTTGGTTTTCAACCAAACAGGATGGGATTTGGAACATAGATATATAAAATGGACTTCTACAAAAAGGTATGGTCACCATGCACATGCATACACGTGCGTGTACGTGAGCTGCAATCTGATTGGCTAAAACTTTAAACAGTAATAACTTCCTTGGTTTTCAACCAAACAGGATGGGATTTGGAACATAGATATACATAATGGACATCTTAAAGAAGGTATGGTCAACATGCACATGCATACATGTGCGTGTACGTGCGCTGCAATCTGATTGGCTGAAACTTTAAACAGTTTTAACTCCCTTGGTTTTCAACCAAACGGGATGGGATTTAGAACATAGATATATATAATGAACTTATGCAAGAAGGTATGATCACCATGCTCATGTATGCACGTGCGTGCACGTGAAATGGGTAAAATCAAAAATACACTTGAATGAGCGAATTTTTTAATACTTTAGATTAAATACTTTATTATTTAGTATATTAAAATATATAGATTGTGTAGACAAGATGATATGGTCATTACGTAGATGCATTCACATGCAATGCTAAAATTTGAATGAGCATGGTAAATTTCTGGGTAAACATTGTTAAAATCTCAAATGCATAGAGTTTGTGTTATTAAATAAAGCTTACAGGGAATATGGCAACAAAAGGGAGGTGGGGAGCGTTTGGGGAACATCTGTAACGGTCCCTGTTACAATTAGCACTAGTTATTATGTTCCCCAAACGAAGTTGGGGAACATATTGTTTTTACTCTGTTTCTTATTATTATTATTATTTTTCTTCTTCTTCCTGGGTACTTTTTTGTCCGCGGAGTGATCTTGTAAACTACACATCTGACTTAGGTAAAACCTTTTTAGGGTCAGTAGGCATGTTATGTAGATTTGCGGAACGAAGGTCATTTTGCGCGCACGTGCTTAAGAGCGCGCACGTGCAACACGTGAAATGACCGATTAATTGATATAGGAGTAACTTTTTAATTTTTAAAATGAAATGCTTTCAAACTTATAATATAAGAATATTTTAGTAGCACAGACAATATGACATGGTCAAAATAGCAAGATCTCACGCGCATGCACGTGCACTTCGCTCTGATTGGCTGAAATAAAGTCTCAATATCTTTCTTGTTTTTTGACGAAATCCTTTGAAATTTTGAACATCGCCATGCATTAGGATAGCCTACAACATGATATATAGCAATTATCATGAAAACACGTGCACGCACGTGTGCTGCTTTCTGATTGGCTGAAAATTTAAATAGCTATAACTCCCTTGGTTTTCAACCAAATAGGATGGGATTTGGAACATAGATAGATATAATGGACTACTACAAGGAAGTATGGTCATCATGCACATGCATACACGCGGGTGTACGTGCGCTGCAATCTGATTGGCTAAAACTTTAAACAGCTATAACTCCCTTGGTTTTCAACCAAACGGGGTGGGATTTAGAACATAGATAGATGTAATGGACTTCTACAAGAAGGTATGGTCACCATGCACATGTATGCTTGTGCGTGCACGTGAAATGAGCAAAATCAAAAATACACTTGAATGAGCGTATTTTTTTAATACTTTTGGATTAAATACTTTAACATTCAGTATATTGAAATATGTAGATTGTGTAGACATGATGATATGGTCGAGTACGTTCATGCATTCACATGCGCACGTGTGCAACGCTAAAATTTGAATGAACTTGGTACACATCTGGGTAAACGTTGTTAAAGTCTCAAGTGCATAGAGTTTGTCTTATTTAATGAAGCTTACAGGGAATATGGCACCAAAAGGGAGTTGGGGAGCGTTTTTCTTCGGTCCCCGTTACAATTAGCACTAGTTATTATTATTATTCTTTTTTTTCTTCTTTGTTCTCCGGTACTTTTTTGTCCGCGAGTGTTCTCAGAAACTGTTCACCCAACTGAGCTAAAACCTTTTTAGGGTTAATAGGTGTGTAGTGTAGGTGTGCAACACGAAGGTTATTTTGCGCGCATACGCATGCACGTGCGGGCGCGTGAAATGAGTGAAATGACGGATATACTTTATATAGCTATAACTTTAACATTTTTTGAGTAATATTTTAAAACTCATTTAATAAGGATATATTAATAGTGTAGATAATGTGACACTGTCAAATTAGCACGAACTCACGCGCATGCACGTGCGCTTCGCTTTGATTGGCTGAAACAAAAATCTCAATATCTTTTCTGTTTTTTGACGAAATGCTATGAAATTTAAAATATAGGCATACTTTAGGATGTACTACAATATGATATATAACAATTGTCATGTAAACACGCGCGTGCACGTGCGCTGCAATCTGATTGGCTTAAACTTTAAATGGCTATAACTCCCTTGTTTTTCAACGAAACAGTATGGGATTTAGAACATAGACAAACATAATGGACTCCCACAAGGAGGTATGGTCGACATGCACATGCATGCACGTGCATGCACGTGTGCTTTGCTCTAACAAAATAATTACAAAATAATTCGCTGAAACAAAAATCGCAATATCTTTTTTTAATTTTTGACGAAATACTTTAAAATTTTAAACATAATCATGCATTAGGATGTCCTACAATATGATATATAACAGTTGTCGTGAAAACATGCGCATACACGTGCGCTGCAATCTGATTGGCTTAAACTTAAAATGGCTATAACTTCCTCGTTTTTCAACCAAACAGGATGGGATTTAGAACATAGACAAACATAACAGACTCTTACAAGAAAATACAGTCGACATGCACATGCATGCACGTGCGTGCACGTGAAATGAGTAAAATTACAAATACACTAGATTAAATGTATTTTTTAATACTTTTGGATAAAACGCTGTAATTTCTAGTATATAAATAGTGTAGACAAGATGATATGGTCATTACGTACATGCATTCAAATGCGCATGCGTGCAATGCATAAATTTGAATATACTGAATATACTTCTGGGAAAACATTGTTATAGTCTAAAAGGCATAGAGTTCGTCTTATTTAATGAAGCTGTAAATAAATAAGAAACTTACAGGGAATAAGGCACCAAAAGGGAGTTGGGGAGCGTTTGGGGAACATCTGTAACGGTTCCCGTTACAATTAGCCCTAGTTAGATTTAATGTATTTCAGAAGTTGTCGAAGTGAAACACATTTTTTTCCTCAATATTTTCAATATTGCGAATTGAAGTTTTGAAAAAGATATTGTCTATTTAGTAAAAATATTTTGGGAGTTAAGCCAGATATCGCTTGACACAGAAATTAACACTGCTGAAGGCAAAACCTCTTTCTGTATGTTCATTCAGTAGAATTCGAAGGTCTAGTTTATCTAGTGGACATCACATAATTTATATTCATTACGACAAAAAAAATAATAAAAATGAAATAGACCTCTGTTGAATTGTACTCTTGTATTCTTCATGTCGCAATGTGAAAAGTTTCTTTATTCGATACTAGCATCTTACTCATAGCTAGCGCGGCAACAATTTTCTTCGGTATTTGAGGCTCTCCACAGAAGTCAAACAGAGTAATAAAGTATTCGGCAAAGGTCAGGCAGATGATGGCCATGGAGGACGGGGTGAGTACAATGATCTTGGTCCAAGCGAACAGGTAAGCCACAACTCTCCCCATGGCTTCCATCATGTACGGGTATTCCCCGCCTGACTTTGTAATCAAAGTTCCAAGCTCAGCATAAGACAGCGAACCTAAATTTTAATAAACAGTTTTCTTAATATTAGAGCAACATTTAATGACACAGATTTTTCACGAGTATAATGAAAAAAATATCCTGCTAACTTTTTTTTATTTCATTTTAAACAAAATTAGTTGAATCATCTACACATGTGATAATGATGTATTCTTCTGTTTTTCCCGAAATATTAAAAAAGAACATTCCAAATACAGCAAACTAATCTTTTATGTGTAGTTCGATAACAAGTTGTGAAAAATAAATGTCTGCAGTCTAATATATGACAGAAATTATTTCTTCATTTTAAAAAATTGCTTATCATTAATTACACGTGCAATTAACAGTCTACTAATTAGTATTTCCTTTCAGTGCTTGCAAAAAAATATTCACTTCTACATATTCAGCGTATTTGAGATACTAAAGTTTAAGCAGGACCATCTTGAAAACCAGCATACATGTATGTCATCATGAATAAATAAAGTTTTAATCATTCTTGAATTATCATTTATATTATAATATTGGTGAACATTGTACGCTTTGCAAAAGCACGAGGTTGTGTTGCAAAAGCATTTTATACAGCTAAGGGTGCCCAAATTTACAAATATATGTTATGTTATTTCTTTATTATATATCTAAATTATGTTTCACTTGATTTTTACTTATTTTCGAGTTAAAATACAAAACTAACGAACATAATCCAATTCCGAAATATAAGTGTGCAATGTCATTTCAAAATCTGTACGAATGTATTTGCTGTATAAGTTTATCATTCAGCTTTATTTTGGAAATACACATATCTTTCGGATTGTTAGGGTTATTATAAATATACATTAAAACAAAGAAGCCTCTGTTTCGTTGTATAGCTAAAGTATAGATTCCATTTTGTTCAGATCATGGTGCGAGAACTTTGATGAGACTACGATTATTCTCAAAAACAGATGAGTTACATTTAAAAGAACATTCAAGCAGAAATGTAATGAGGAAAATAATCGACCATTTTTAGAATATATATAAAAATATCTAGTTTTTGATTAACATCTTTTCAATGTTACTTTTTCAATATATTAATATATAACTTTTAAATAATTAACTTAGATGCATATTAATGAAAAAACATGATCATTCTCTCTCCATGGCACCTGAGCCCAGGCTCTAATGTTTTGGATCACGTTTTGCTATCCGTCCGTATTTTGTCTGTCCGTCTGTAAACTTTTCACATTTTCGACTTCTTCTCAAGAACCACTGGGCCAATTTTGACCAAACTTGGTACAAAGCATCCTTGGGTAAAGGGAAATTTAAATTGTTAAAATGAAGGGACATATCCCCTCACAAGGGGAGATAATCAAGAAAAGACAAAAATATTAATTAAAAAATGTTTTTGCAAGAACCCTGAGCCAGCTATATAAACTTAGGTGGAGGCATCCTGGGGTAGTGTAGAGTGATTGTTCAAATCATGACCCCCTGGCTGGCGACATGTACAAAGTTTTATATAGAAATATATAGAAAAATCTTTGAAAATCTTCTTCTCAAGAACCACTGGACCAGAATATGAAACAAGCATCCTGGTATAGTGTAGATTCTAAATTGAAAATGTTGCAAAGTTTTCCATAGAAATATATAGGAAAAATCTTTGAAAATCTTCTTCTCAAGAACCACTGGGCCAGAAAAGCTGAAACTTATGTGGAAGCATCCTGGTATAATGTAGATTCTAAATTGTTCAAAATAATGACCCCCGGGGGATGGGTGGGGCCACAATGGGGAATCAAAGTTTTATATAGAAATATATAGGAGAGATCTTTGAAAATCTTCTTCTCAAGAACCACTGGGCCAGAAAAGCTGAAACTTATGTGGAAGCATCCTGGTATAGTGTAGAAAATTGTTCAAATCATGACCCCCAGGGGAATTCTCGGGGCCACAATGGGGTGCAAAATTTTACATAGAAATATATAGGAAAAATCTTTGAAAATCATCTTCTCAAGAACCACTGGAATAGGAAAGATGAAACTCATGTGGAATCATCCTCAGGTAGTGTAGATTCAAGTTTGTTCAAATCATGACCCCCGGGGGAAGGGCGGGGCCACAATGGGAATCAAAGTTTTACATGGAAATATATAGGAAAAATCTTTGAAAATCTTCTTCTCAAGAACCACTGGGCCAGAAAAAGTGAAGCTTATATGGAAGCATTCTGGGGTAGTGTAAATTCTAAATTGTAGGAATCATGACCCCCGGGGAAAGGGTGGGGCCATAGGGAATCAAAGTTTTACATAGAAATATATAGGAAAAATCTTTGAAAATCTTCTTCTCAGGAACCACTGGGCCAAAAAATATATGCCCATGGAAGGATATATAGATTTCAAAATGTCTAAATTATTATCAGTGGGGTAGGGTGGGGATGCATTATGTATAACAAGGGTGAAATCTGGTAAAGAACAGAATGGTCAAAGCTTCTCTCGATGTGGCCCATGGGCCTCTTTTTCTATTTCTCACCCATTTTCCCTCACCTATGATAGTTCCTACGATGATTGAGGTACCACTGATAAGGCCCAGACTCCTTTTAAGTTTGATCGCCTGAACATCTACTTTTACATCCAGACCCTCTTCACTGTTTGTATGTCTTTCTTTAAGTTCCATTCCATCTTTATCTGCAAGCAAAAGTTTACCATTTCATTTTAATAAATAATAGAGGTTGGTTGTATTTTATAATAAAAATAATTTGTGATCATCCAATATAATTTTTCAGGGAAGAAATACAAATGGGTCAAAAAAGGTTCGTGGACTATCATTATAAAAACTAAAACCGTAGAGTGTCTTAATGTTCAAACGTTCAAAAAATATTTCATCCTGGAAAACTGGCATAAATTTAAGACCTGGAAATTTTTTGAAGAGGGTTAAGGAAAAATAAATACTGTAAACCAACTTTTATTCGCGACGACTTTATTTCGCGATTTACCAGCGGTAAACTAGTTCGCGACGATTAATTTTCGCGATCATGCCTATTTAGGTTCGCTTGTTAACTAATAGACACATTATAATGACCGGTAATGACCGCGAGAAATATTCGCGATAACGAGGTTCTCGCGAAGTTCGCGAAAATTTCTCGCACGCGAATAAAAATTGGTTTACAGTACATCCAGAGTATATCCGGGCATCCTATGTATATCTCCATTTACAATATAATGCATTAAAATAAGATGTTAATTTTACAGTAAAGTCATATGAACAGTACAGGGTTCGTTTTTTTTTTTAACTCCAGGAAATTCATCAAGTTGATAGGGCATGAAGGTCGAGAAATAATGAAGTTTAAGGTCATCATAGTGCATATGGTGACAACACCGGGTGAGCAAATATTGTCTTTTTATGATAAATATACAAATTATATATATATCAAGCCAACATTTTTATCACGTAAACGTCTGTTGGTTTATGTTCCTAATAAATATAGTAAGCATCGATTACACAGTACTGATTTACTGCATCAGTTCAAGATCTTTTTGTTAACAGTGTTATATGCATCAAGTCCGATCTCTTTGGAGCATATTACACAGAATGCGCAATTACAAATGCGGAGTTTACATATATCTCAGTTGATTCGATATGCAAGAGCATGCTCTATGTATGAACAATTACTAAAACGAGGTAAATTATTGACAAACACGTTGATGAAACAAGAATATCAGCAGTCTCGTTTAAAGTCATCATTTTGAAAGTTCTATGGTCGATACAATGACCGTGTCAGCAAACACAATTTTTCATTGAGTCAAATAATGACTGACTTTTTTCTTACTAATTGTTAGTCCATTATTTAAACATTGAATTGTCGACGGATTTTCCGATATTATCCAATCATGACAAGGAGCACATGGCGGGTGTAACCGGTTGGCAGGGGATGCTCACTCCTCCATAGCACCTGATCCCACCTCTGATGTTTTTGCAGTCTCCTATTTTGTATGGACTTTGGAACTTAAATACTGTTTGTTATCTTCATATATTTCATCCAGAAGTCATCAATAACTTCGAACTCAAACGTATTGTTTAACAATTTTTAACATTCATTTTTTCTTCATTCAGTATCAACAAGTATTGCAAGTGGTTACATTTAAAAGGAATATAAAAATTTACAGAATTGTAATATTTTACAACAGGCAAATGTGACATGATAACAAGCAAATTGTTTTCAGTACGAAACTCAAGTTCCCCACTTCTTTAGTTTGACACACACTATTGGAATTCATGCTGAAGGGCTGATTTGAAAAGCAAAAGCTCGATAATACGAGGGGTGATCAAAAAGTTCGCGAACTATATCTATATTTACAAAACAGCAATTCAGATCAGAATGAAATTTGGCACATGTAGAGTCATACACATGTTCTATAAATAAAATATGTAATGGAACGTTTTGTCCCGTGTTTGTGACGTCTTAATGTGAAATGACGTCATAAGGTAGATCACTTGTGACAAAAAAAATGGTTGACTCAGTCGTATTCGAGAAACGAACGGCTGTAAAGTTAACTGTATATCTTGGAAATTCCTTAGCAGAAGCTTATAATAATTTGTACACGGTTCATGAAGACAAGATAGTTTTGTCATTAATTGGATTGATTGTTTAAGTGAAGGAAGGGAGATGTTTAAAAATGATGTTTGTTCTGTTGCCCGGTGAAAACAAACTGGGAGAGAGACGTGTCCTTTGTTAAGCAGTTTGATTTGAAAGATCGCCAACTTACAGTTAGAAAAATGGATGAATATCTTTACAATAATATAATTATCAAATCCCTAAAATATCGTTTACTTTAGACCTTAAACATATCAGATATGATAAAGTGAAGGCACCCATACTTTATCCACATGAAATAAACGACGATCAAAAGACAGAGGAATAGGCTTTTGATGGTCACCATGCTCATTCTGTAAAAGGATATCATTATCCACCCACACTATTGCAGAGATTAGGCCGTTTTTGGCAAATGTACTATTTTTGTTGCAAAAAATAACTTGCATGGTAAGAAATATAAGAGTCCGAAAAAATGTTAAGCTTCTGTGACAGAACGCTAAAGAGCATGTCACGTGATCGCCTATATCACGTGATCCGCACATGGGCAGAATGATTGCAGATGCGCATTAAAACAGGAGAGGACTACTTTGAAACATTTTCAATACTGAAACCCCATATCATTTCTTTTACGGAAGTTATTCAATCAGTTCGCGAACTTTTTGATCACCCCTCGTACAGTTATTTTGTCTACGTCAATTGTAATCTTTTTTAAGGAAATCTCAGCTCAAAACTGATTTACCAGGTAAAAAAGCCTAGGTAAGGCTCGATTACAACATATGTCAACGTGATTTCAAATAAAAGAAATCAAAAGGGAACATTCTTTTTTTAATTTGTCCGTTTTTCATACTGTTTTTTTAAAGTGATCTTCAGCCGTATGACAAAAAAACCTTTGAGAATGCCTAATTCAGATTGCGTTCCGGTTTCAGATAAAAGTCTGTAAATGAATATAAAGCTTTTTCCCATAAATGGACTGTTTGAGTCACGGAAATGAATTACAGACTTCAGAATGAGTGCTTGATAGTTGCATAATATATATTTATTGAACAAATTCTCAGTGTTCTGATAACAAAACGAGAGTGTTCAAAGGAACGCATGTGTCGCCTGCTTCTAGCTTCTTTAAAGATGTAACTAAATCTAAGAGTGTCAGCTATCTATATGCTACTATCATAAACAGTATTTCATGCAAAAAATCCGGTATGATAGTTCATAAATACACACACACACAAAAAAACACATCCACATAGTATAAGACTGCGATAGAGTTTGTCAGTTGAAAAAATATGATTCCCAACCCTCAAATGAATATTAAGTTGAAATCATTTATCATTTTACATGTGTTAAGAACAGATATTCTTAATTTAGGATTATTATGCCAAACTTCGGCACTTTGAAAAACTTTGGTGAAAACTTTGACACTTTGAAAAACTTTAGCGAAAACTTTTACACTTTGAAAAACTTTGGCGAAAACTTTGACACTTGGAAAAACTTCGGCGAAAACTTTGACACTTTGATTTACTATGATTAACTATAGTTTACTATAGTTAACTATAGTTAACTATAGTAAACTATAGTTAGCTATATATTTTTAAGCGGTTAGCTTCGCTAGCCGCTTTATGGCATGTGTCCGATTTTTATCGACACCGGAAACTTCCATAAGGCGCTACCTATCGACAACGGAAACTTCAACAAAGCCTCTACCTAGTACCTATGATTTGTTTCTAACACATATAACATATGTTAAATAAAATCAAGACTATCAAAACAACATAATCTTTCGGTTTTTTAATGTTTTTCTGATTTTGTTTGTCAATGAAATAAATTTATAATTGTTGTATTAAAAAAGGTTTATGTATAGGAGCATTTGGTACCGAGATTAAATTTCCGTGACGTCAGCTGATGGCGATCGGGCCCTGTGACGAAATTCGAAGTCAGCATGAAGTTTAGCTGATAACATTATCAACGCGTTAGATTAAACTTTAGGAAGAAATGTATAGCGAGAAATATCATATTTGAACCCAATGCTACACGAAAACCAGTAGGCATTTCCGATTTATGTGTTAAATTGAAGCCTGAATCGAACAGGTGGTCAAAATGGCGTTGGACACCTTGTGTATTTATATATAGAGGGGGTAGAATGTTTCGATATTTGGCTAATTTAGAGACTTACTGATAAAAATTCAGGTGCCTGTGATTTATTATAGGGCACCCCTCATGAACAATAAATATTTAACCGAATTATGCTACTGCCACAGGGAGGACGGGTTAATTACTGGCTAAAGGGGTTGAAGATTATTACCGACTGCAAAACATCGGAGAACAGTTTCATTTTCCAAAATATTAAGGCATCCCTTTAATTAACTTAAGTAATACTAGTACACGAAGAAAGCCTTTATATAAAAATACTGAATACATCTGTAAGTTGTACAGTTATGGATTACTTCCATAATGAAACGTTTGTTTTCTTCTCCTTTTTTTCTCAATTGAAATTATTTAAAAGATGATAAAAGCTTTGTTTCCAGGGATAAATTCTGTACTCAGTCTAATTATTACAAACTATTTTAAACGATCACATTTTTATTTAAAAAAAAAATAATGGGAGCCTGAAAATACTAAAATTAATTTTAAAAAATTGGCGAAAAAAATTTAATCGGCATTCGATCCTTTTCTAAAAATCAGCCGATATAAAATATGCACAGAAAAAAAGAGGCATGAAAAATCTTGACGATAAGCACAAATTGAAAATTATGTCTAATGAATGATTATTTTTGAAAGTTTGCTAAATTCCTATGCAAGGTATAAGTTGTAAAAATACTTTTTAAATTTGAATTTGTCCAATTTGTTAATTATCATTTTGAACCTTTGAGAAGAAATAAAAATTAAAATACAGATGCTTACAGACATATTGATAGAAATTCGCATACTTGTTTTTAGTAAAAAAAAAACAACAAAAAACAATATATTGCTTATGCGACATATTGAAGAAAATGACAATGATACCTAGGTAATTCTTGCAATGGACAATTTAATTGTTTGTTATACACTGACTTTTAGTGAACCTTTGAATTTTTGAAATACTAGTATTGATGGATTAAACAACAACTTTCCTTTTCACACGTTTTTTTTTTTTTTTTTTAATACAATATTTGATGAAAAATATTTGCCAAATACTCAGTATATGTTCGTTTATACATATCGTGCAAGACTCTTTTTTAAATAATTGTCATATTCCATTTACTTATTCGAACATTTAATTGTATGAAAAGTCAGTAATGTATACATTTCTTAAAACTTTATTATCTTGTTTTCTTGTCTTTCTTCCTGTGAGAGAAATAGTTCATAATATTAATAAACAGATGTACTCAGTATCTGTATCAAAATACAGAATGAACAGTGATCGGTCTCAAAAGAAAAACAGATCCTTGAAAGTTCCGGTGCCTAGGAGAAGTAAGCATCCCCAATGACAGGTCACACCTGCTGACCCGCAGTGAGCCTACGAAACTGAAGCTCTCTGAAATTAATTAATTCTCTGCTCGTCCATCCACTTTTCTCAGACTAGCCAGCTAAAGATCTATGTACAGCACTCCACATCAATTAATCTAAAGAATTTGAATTATCATTTTATTTTCTTTTTGAGTTGTTTGCTATAGTAGCCTTTACAGTTACCTAATTTCAGAATCAATAGAGCCAATTAAATTTGCAACATCAACATAATTCTTTTTTCGTTCTGAGCACTTTTGGACGCCACCAATGGAGACAATTAGGGAAAATTTTTTGAAATTGAACTTCCTGTCTTTCAAACTGAAAATCTCAGGTTGATATTTTGAAACAAACATTTGAGACATCAGTCTGGGATCTTATTGGTTATACCATTTAGTTAAGTACTACAAAAATTCAGTGTGTCTGCTTCTTCGCTGATGACACTGGAAAAAGATATGCATGCCTACTTTAATATCATCATTCAATGCATTTTTTGTTATTGTACACTGTACATATTCGATGAAAGCATGCTAACCGCTTTTGAGTACTTTCAGTACTTTGATTTTTGTAAGGAACGGTCCGGCATATAGTTCTCTCCTACATGAAAATGGGAGAGGATCGTACACTTTGGCCGTGGTTTGCGACGATGGCGTTACCAGGGTTTTTTAAAAAAAAATATCAATTGATGAAAATTCTTGTAAAATTCAAAGAAATATATACAAAAATTACAAAACATATATTCTAGATGTTTTGTTTATCCAAGCTTTTTCAAAAGAAGTGTACGACAGCATATATAAACTTTAAAAGGTAGCACACAATTCCTTTCAGTATTGGAACTCTTCAACTCCAGGGGAAAAGACAATTAAGTTCAAACTACGTTACAAATGTTTTAATAACGATACGTGTTTCAAAGTCTTCAAACCAACTGTCACTCTACACGATCCATTGTGGGATCCCGATGACCCGATCCCGATGTATTTTCATAATAATTTTAAAAAATATAGTTTTTGTGGTTACTGAATATAATACAGTTTCAAAGAACAGTATTATGAGCTCATAAACATGTATAAATGTTAATTATCAACACCAACTCAAAATTCAAAAGTTTTAAGTTAAGTTAAATTGTCCGGGGTATTCTTTGTAAAGAAGGCCAAAGATCGAGGCCAAGTGAATTGTTTATAATGTTTTATGACAATCAGTGCACATTTTTAATAGCATAGAATACCTCGTTAAATGTCAATAATATGCATATGTATATTGGCACCTTTAACTTTCTAGTTAAGTAGGTAAAAGGACAAGGTCAAGGGTCATGAAGTCGGTAACCATGGCAATTTACAAATGCTATACTGCCTAGCAATAAATGTGCAAAAAGTCCATATCTCTAAGAGTTCTTGAAATACAAGGTGTGACAGATGGACAGACAGACAGCTAGACAGACTGACAGACGCCGGGTAAAGTGATCCCTTAGTGCCGCTCTGCTCCGTAGGCGGCACAACAATCACTTTTTATATGCCCTTGACAATCTTTATTTGCTGTCTACCTCCCTGAGTACTTAAATGACATAGATACATGTATACATTCTGTCTTGCATTTAAAAAATATCCCCAAAAATCTAAACATTTTCTTTACCTGTAGTTCTACATTCAAATCTTAACAAGAACGAAATAAATAAATAAAATAAAATAAAATGAATAAACCAAAAAATATAGCTGTCTGTTGTACAGTGTATTTGTAGAATTATTATGATTAATACGATAAAAAATACAGACCCGTTCTCTCGCTTCGCTCTCGCATGAAATGCATATTCAGATTTTCTCTAGTTAAAAGATTTAACTAAAGAAAAACATGCAAGGCGCTATAAAAAAAGGTGTTTGAAATTAAAACGCAAGAAAATTTATGTAAGGTCAACTCGAACAACGACTTTGAAAAGTCTAAACTTACCATCTGAGCTATTCTGATTTACATATGTACTATGTTTAACTATACACCCGGTAGTCATAGAGATATTTTTTGCATTTTTTCGTGAACCTTGAGCCTAGGGCGGGTATGTTCCCATCATTTTTAAAATAATTATATGAAAGTATCATAATCTTATTTGGGACATATTTGTCCTGAAGTACTTCTTGGCAAAAAAAAAAAAAAAAAAAAGAACAAACAAAATTTGTTGATTTCCCCTGGAAATGCCGTTTTTGTAATCTATGAAGGATAGTGCAATGATAAATATAAGGGTTCAAGATGCAAATTTTAAAATTTTAGACATATATACAAAAGAGAATAATCAGTGGATGTTATTTCGACATGTTACTTTCCTGAAAATCATTCTATCCTATATGACATTTTCATGAGTCTTGATAAGGCATCATTCTGGACTCTCAGTACCTGGATTAATTGAGCCCTCGATCATTATTACAATATTTAGTCGCTGGTCAAAATCTAGTGAGCAGGTCAAGGATCGCGTCAATAGCCAAACTAATAAAACCAGTCAAGTGTTACTGGATGTTGAAATAAACACGACTGGAATCCTAAATAAACTATGGTGGGTATCGGTTAAAAAGCCATCAAGTTTAGGGGACGTTAAACTGGTATAAAGCTGTATTTTGAGGAAAAAAATGCCTGCTTTGTAGTAGGTACCGGGGATTCATTATACATACACACGTACATGTAGTAGGTACATGAATTCACATTATAATATTGTGTACAGAAACAAGCAAAATCTTATCTTGTTATCTGACCTATAAATAAAAAATGCAAGTTCTTTGTTTAAATTTATGATAAGTACTGTTTAAACAACTTTCAGAGCCGACAAAACATATACATGGGTCTTCTATCAAGGACATTGCTTTTCAGATGTGTTGTAAATATATATCCGTATCCTTTTACATTGATTTATTTCTTGATTTCAGAATTCATCATAAGTAATATATTATGTGTCTTTCTTTTTTTTTTTTAATTTTACATGGGTATCAATTACCAATTCTACAAGAATGTTTCAAACCCCTGTCAATTAACCAATTAACAAATTCATATTATGTTTCTTTAGACAAAAATGACAACCATCATTCTATCGGTATTCCAACGATGCATAAAAGTTAACGCAACGCATAATCTTACTGCAAATACTTACCAGAAAACGCTGGGTTTTCCATTTCCGACAATTTCCCAGTGTATGGAAGTGCCTAACAATTGTATACCAATAAATAATCAGTTGGTTTTGACATAAGTGCTCCTTGCAGGTCCCACAGATAAATACAGTCTAGAGTAATAAAGTTGAATTGGAAGATACGTCGGAAGAAAACGCCGTCCACATTAGAAAGGTTTCGGTTGACTGATTTTCGAATAAATAAATCTAACCTGACGAACAACTTGCATTGAAGTCACAGTGTTGCATTTTTTACCTGTAATGAGCAAACTGAGGTAAACTCTCGATACAAGGATATAGTTTAAAACAAACTGGAAATAGGCTAGCAGTGAAGGCAAATATATACATGTACAAGTTTGAATAAACTGTATTCAGTAATAATTTACTATCAGCAAAGCCGAAGATGAAATTTAAAACGAAACCTAACCAGATAAAATTAATTAAGCGAGAATAACGGGGACCAGATGAAAAGCAATAAATAAATAAATGAATAAATAAATAAAATAAATAATAATTATTAAAAAAAAGTAAATATTATTATATAACTTCAATAGGTGTTGGGAATGCATTTGAAACAAAACACAGCTACACGTACTGTATCAACCACTATAATTGAACTCACGTTAACGAATGCTTTTTCCATCAAGACCATTAATAGTCGCAATAGGGTATGATATTCCTCTTCCGTTAAAAAAAATTTTAACGTCTCTTGAAATTATTGATGAAACTTTTAAAACATTATTTTGTGGTAGCTGCCGAAAAAAGTCGATAGATTTCGTACATTTATTTATCATAGAATGGACATTGTCAAACTTTTTCTTGATTTGCGATGCATATGTGTATACCTGTCATATAAAAATTCCTAGATTCTGACTTTGTTTCGGGGAAATATTTGCCGTGTCAGTCAGTATAGAATCGCATTTTTTTTTCAAAATTCATAGAAAATATGAAAAAAGTGTTGAAACAAAAGTCCATTGAAACAATACAAATTGGAAAAAAGGCAAACTTAGACCTCTTCAAACATCCGAGGATGGATCAGGTACCACGAAGGATTAAGCGGCCTATGTCAACTGATCACACCAACCCTATATTACTTGTCATGATCGGGTAAACGTTAAATTGCAGATATGTCAGTGTATAAATATTGACCCATCAATTAGTATGAAGAATGTCGGCAAGAGTTCGCGATCTCGAGCTCGTACTCCTACGTGGATATAAGAATCCTTAATGCTACGTGTCAAAACAAAATTTTCATGCTGAATAGATTATCTCATTAACATTCAAAAATTAAATACATATATTTCTTAGAATATAGCTCCTTCGTGAAGATAATGTCTTCGTGTTACATGGATATTTGCGAGAACAACATTCTGATGTCAGTTTCATTCTTAAATCCATAATGACAGTAATCCTTCTTAATTGTATGAACATTGATACCTGTCATTTAATTCAGACAGTGAAAAAAAACCCCTCAAAAATGTTTCCATTTCATCTTCCAGATACAATAGAGAGGCCATAGGAAACAATTTCAATGATCTAATCGTGTTTTGACAAGCACCACCAAGGATTCTTATATCCAAGAAAGATAACAAACAGTATTAAAGGTCAAAATTCCATAAAACAAAACAAACTGGGAGCAGAGCAAACACGGATCTCCAAAACATCAGAGGTGGCCTCAGGTGCCACGAGGAGTGAGCATCCCCTGCTGACCGGTCACACCTGCCGTGTGCTCCTTGTCATGATGGGGAAATAACGGAGCAATCCGTTGTCAATTCAGTGTACAGTGTATAAATAATGGACTGATAATTAGTATGAAAAATGTCAGTCAGCATTTGACTCAATGATAAATTGTATTTGCTGACAAGGTCATTGTATCGACCATAGAACTGATGAGATGATGACTTCAAACAAGGCTGCTGAAATTCTTGTTTCATCAACTTGTTTGTTAATAATCTACCTCGTTGTAGAAATTGTTCATACGTAGAGCATGCTCTTGCGTATCGAATGAATTGAGATAGATAAACTCCATATGCAGGTGATAAGGGTATATTGCTGCACAAGTAAGGGAAGTTAAAATCATCACGTTTATGATAGAATTTGGTTGTTAGATTACCAGTAACGTCTTTTTCAAGTAAAATATACAAATACAAAACATATGAAGTTGAAAATTCGTAAGTTTTTAAGCTATTGATTTTGGTAAAAAAAATTGTCCATCAATTCTTTGGAATTTTTAGGTACATGTGACCATATCTGATTTACACTATTTCTTGAATATAACTTGTTGCACATTACTCTTGAAGTTTCTCCTTCACTACTGTTAATATTTTAGCGAGGAGTAGAGAAAGAGGCTTGGTAGAACATTTACTGGAACATATGTATCTTTGTTTGTTAGGATTTTCAGGAAATATATATATGGGAATCCAATATAGCAACATACATGGTAGTAGAAATTAAAAAAGAGATTACGTATATCCTCGTTACATCAACTTGTTTACTAAATAGTTTGCCTTTTTTGATATGGTATTGCGTTAAAATGCGTGAACGGGGAAGGGGGTTAAAAAAGAGTAGAGCCTTTTTGATATCATTCGTACGTAGAGCATGATCTTGAGCATTGACTCAATTGAGAGACATAAACATATATGCAGATGATAAGAGTACATTGTTAGATGTGGATACTTAAAAATTCCAAGGAACTTTTAAAAAATTTGAATCACGAGATGTTACCAAAATCAACAGCTTAAACCACTTTTCAACTTTATACACAACCATTCCCCACGACAAATTAAAGACCAGGTCTTCCAACAATTTATTGGATTGTTATGGGTACCAATTGCGCCCCGTTATGAGCAGACTATGAAAAGAGGAAAACACTTGTTGTGAAGATCAACTCGAGTTTTAGATATTTCGTCGATGTATGAACATGTTTTACTGGTCCCCTTGAAAAAAAAAAAGAAAAGTAGCCCTTGCACTTGCTTCTCCTTACCGTAATATTGTATTTTATGAACCCTGTGATGACAAAATGTTAAGTGTCTAATAACAATGTCTTCGAGGGTAAGTCTAGAATTTTTAGATATAATATGGAACACAACTCGATATTTTTTGGTGTCCCTACATTATTCAAACGAACATTTTGACGGCAATACTTCAATTCTCTTTTTTCCTTTAGAATTTCCAAGCCCAACTAAAAACTACACAGGGTAAAAGATTATTTTTCCACATATAATATGTTCTTGCGTATCGAATCAACTGAGATAAGAATTTTGTATGCAAATGACAAGGGTACATTGCTATACAATAAATGAGAGCCGACGATAGAAAAGTTGAAGTCATCATTTTAAGCAAACATAACCTACATGTACCCCTTGCTCCCGATTTGACTGACTAGTTTCGTAGCAATTGTAAGGCCTTTATTTTTGTACTAATCCGACTATAAAAAGACTCGTCTACTTGATACAAAGTGCTTTCTACGGGTGGGACCGGTCAAAAGGGATGCTTTTTCCTGCAATGTACCTGATCCCACCACTGGAATATCCAGGGGTCTGTGTTTTATACCCTCTTCTAAAATTTACGTCGCTTATAGATCTCTTGAGCTCTATCACGGTTTGTTATATTCATTCTTAAATTTACGTACAGTTTATTCAGCGACCAGACTTAATGAAGTGATTTAATTTTTTTTCTAGTAAGTAAATTGCAAGTTTTGAATTGTTTGCATAAAATGGTTTAGACGCAGTTAGCATATCATATTGCAATTAGTATTCGAACTAAAGTGATTTATTAAAAACATGTAACAGCTGCTTTGTAGTTTGATATGTTTATCAAAAATGGAATCATTTTTTATTCCAATATTATGCGTACGTATATTTTAAAATAGTTTAAACATTTCAGTAACTTATTTCGACACTACCTGTCATTTTGACCAGGCAACAAAACAGATTCTGAAATAAACCCTAGCAATGGTCGTTGTTCGAATGGTCATACATATTGGTATTAAATCCATTTTTAACAGGATTTCGACATCTAATACACAACAATTAGGTTTCAAACAATGAATTATACAACATGATAAGGATTATGTTAAAATGCACCTCGCTTACTTTAAGATTTTTGAACAGTGTAGAAAAGAATAAAATATTTTTTTATTTGTATTTTGATTTGATTCTACTAGTACATCCCATATAGAATAGGACCTGTGGCCTTTTAATACTAATATGAACTATAAATAAACTTAATATTCCATGACAATACCAGCACACTTGATGGTGATAATTGTGCAACAATATTGTTTTATAATTATCTAATCCATCCCTAGCTAATTTTGAGGATTGTTCCTTTTTTAAAAAATGAAAATTATATCCAACCATTGAGATTGTTTTTAACTTTGACTTATATATAATAAAATTCCTTTAATATTTTAAAATTTTATCAGTGAAATATTGTATTTAATTTAATGTGGTAAAAAATTCCAAGTATATATTATTTCACACTGTGATCTTTTTTAAAGAGCAAAAACTATTTTTCGTCCCTGTATAAAGAGTGTAACAGAAAAATCCTTAGTTATAAAGTAACTAAAGTATTCAAACTCTATCTAAAGTCAAGGTCAGAAAATAAAATGTTGGTACCGAAAGAAAAGTTTTTCATAAGAGAATCACTTTGAAATACGATTTTCCTGGCACTAACCATTTTTACAAGGTTCATTTTTTTTCTAAGGAACGTCAAGAATTAAGGTCAAGGTCAAATGTTAAAATAAAATGGTTCCCTTAACGTTAAACTCAAATGTCTTTTATTTCAGAGAAAATATCTTGGCACAAGAAAGAAACCTCTGAAATTTGAGAGTCCGATCACCAATCACCAATCGAAAAGATTCAAAGGGACCAAATTCAAAGATCAAGGTTATAAGGACATAACTGTTACCATCCAAGAAAATGCTCTGTCTGTAGAAATATGCATGTGAAATAAGAACACTCTTGTACAAACTGTTCAATACTTATGGCCAAGATTAAGGCTTTTAAAAATGAAGTGGGTCAATTTCCAAGATCAAGTTTATTGTAAATAATAATTGTACCCAAGGAAAAATCTTTTCTCCGTAAATATACAGGTGGACCAAGAAAGTCCTATCATCATCATTTATACATTATGGCAAGATTTAAAGTTTGTCGAAATTTTGCAAAAGCAGGTTAAACTCTAAGGTATTCAGTATCTTTTGACAAAAAATGTTGTTTTTGTTAATTTTATAATTAAATGTGATCGCCATTTGACGTTATTATTTAGATTAGCAGGTGCTTGTCCTGTAATTCAGTAAGGACACTGTGCTCTATCCGCACCAGATGCTCCCATCTAAAGTTTATAGTAGAACGTAAATTTTCGCCAGAAATAACTATAAATATGGACAAAATATGACGTGATCAGACAAAGGTGTTTTGTGACTGGAAAAGTAAGTAAACATTCATCTTATATTATTTTTAGTTATAATTCCTCTTTTAAATTTATTAAACTCTTAATGTTAAAGCGACAATACAGCTGCAAAGCATCTTTCTTTCGTTTACATTTACCAAAGATATATATCGTAACAATTAGGCGTCGATGGTTAAAAAAACATGAATCCCCCTTACCCACCGTGGTAATAAGGTAATTAGAACCTTTCGGAAATTCAAGGGTCATATCTTGCGTAGCAATCTTAGATCACGGGACTTCATTTATGTTAGTTTTTTCTTATTTCATTTACAAAAGAGAAACATTGTAATTCATTGATTTAATGCCACAGTGTGAAAGGATATGAAATTAATACTTTGAAGTTAAAAAAAATGTTAAATGATTTTGTCCAATACATGTTTTATATAAAATGTATGTTATAACCATTGGTTAGTTTACAGGTTGCCAACAGATTACTTTTACCTACTTGTATAGATCGGGTTTGTTGCATGAAATACACATGTTAAATTTATGAAGAAAAAAATTAGTGGTATTGGTATAATTTTAAGCAAAAATCACTGTAGAAATAATGACTTTTAAAATTTTTAATTATTTAGTATTTGATCTTTTTGAAAATCCCTAAACATTTTTTTCATTTTATGCAATTTAAAGTATTTTTTCTTCCTTTATATTTTCATTCAGTTTTTTCCTTATCATTGATCAACCCCCCCCCCCCCCCCTTCTTATTATATAAATAAAAATATAGAAAATATAACATGTATTATTATACAAGGAGAAAAAATAAAGCAAATAAGGAAATACGCAGTTAGAAGAAGGCGAAACCCCTATCACGTTTCAATGCATATTTATGGGGTCATTAATATTTATATAGAATTAAATGAAATGAATAAAATTATTTGATATTGAAAGTTGTAATTTTCTGGAAGTTAAATCTTATTTAAATAGTTGAAAAACAAAAAAGAACGATTAAATATTTTTTTTTAATGAGAAAGCTTCTTTAGGTGGAAGAGTAAAAAGAAATTGTGTATATATTATCAAAATATTTAAGGAATAACTGTCTTATTTTTCGAATTCATGAAGTGATCAATGGATTGGCTTGTGTGATAATTTGCATAAACGCCGAAGGCGTTTATGCATAAAATTATAACACAAGCCAATACATTGATCATCTTCATGAATTTGGTGACAGTTATTCCTTATATTTACATGCTTTGATTCCGCCAATCCACGGGCTCCAAGCCTGCTTCTCTCTAGGTGTTGTCCCGCCCTGCACGTGGTTTTTTTGGAACCGCGCCAAAACATTCATGAGGAAATCAATTACATATATTATCTCGGGAAAAGACATGGAAATGTAAAACAGATATATGTAATGACATATGCTAAGTTAGACATGTATTATTTCAGAAGTAACTCTTGAAAAATATACCAAATGGGGAAAAAAGCATTGCTGTGTTTGTTAACATGTTTCAGGACTCTCTAACATGAGCTCCCCAAACATCCAGATCTTGCTGACCGTGCTGTTTATGGTTTCTCTCGGAGTCCATTCAGACCACTCCCTGACTGAGAGAAATCCTGGAACACAGCTTTGTATGGCAATGCAGTTCAAACTTTTTATCAACATTTTTTAGTAAACCTAAGATAATATATTGAAATTACAATTTATTTCATTATTGTTTCATATGATAAACTAATTATTCTTCTTTTTAGTAAATAATCTGTTAACAACAAACCTGCTGGGTGTTCAGGTTCCCAAGGTCGACGGGAAAAACGGTCCACTAGCCCTCGTATTAGAAAAGTAAATGTATTTAATATACAAAGCTGTACTTTAACAATCTTTGTAATTTTGTGCTCAACTGGCTATCAGTTTAGTATCGCAGAAATGTTCATTGTAATTTAATATCGGGATCATGGAAAACTATAAGATCATTTCATGATTTCTAAAATATGTGATTTTTCATAGTAAGATTATTTGTGCACCATGAATGCAAAATTTTCTTCAATAGTTACAGGATATTGTGACAATTGTGATGTTGATATTATCAAATAACTGGATGTTTTAAAAAAATGAAAAGCGAGATTTAATCATGATTGGCTGAAAACATTTTTTGTTATTGCTTTGATTTCATAATTGTAAATTTCATGATTGCAGTTTGAAAATTACCGATGTACATCTACCTGGAGGTGTCATCAGAATTAAACAGAGAGACCCACTTGTTTTGACTTTGAATATCGACAGCGCGTCTTTGAATGGAACAAGTGATCTTCTTGCCAACTATAATGTACTGCTGTAAGGAAACGATACATTTATTCATTCCTTTTTATTGTAAAGAAAGATGATACAAACAAAAAATGGATGCCTGGATTGATATATATTTTTGCCTTTTTTATGCTAATAATGCAAATAATAAATTTCTATAATATTAGGAAATTGAAGACACTCTGTTATGTTCAGAATTATACCTTTCTGCAACCATCCTTATTGATGGATACAAATATTTTTTCACTTCCATTTCCATAATTGTGAAACTGACTAGAAAATTAAACGATGTAATTATGTCCCAAATTAAATGTATTTAAATGTTTTATTTTTGTATTCGTTCAGGCTTCAGCAAACAATCAATGGATTACTAGATGTTAGTGCTGAATTTGGATTGAGTGTTGACGTAATACCAGGTATATATTTTATAAAAACGCTTGTACATATTCACACGTAGTGATATACACTCAGAGAAAGAGTGAAAGAAATGCAGAAAAAGAATGAAAGAATATCAAAATATAGATTTAATCAACCTTAATTTTTAATTATTACAGATTTAGAAAACAAAACTCTTCAGACCGAAAACTGCATAATTCAACCTTTAAAAGTGAAAGTGAAGGTCTCCGTCCTTGAATCCATTCTACAATTCCTTTTAGACCTTTTAACTGCTCTTCTTCAAACTACAGTGGAGAGTACCCTAGATGATGTGGTAAATGTGACATATTTTAGTAAAAATTAAAAAAAAAATTTTTTAAATGTTTAACATTTGTTTCGGGTATTATTGTTGAAAACCTTAATACGCTATTCCATTCCATTTCCTAGATTTGTGAAACAGTAATAAGTACCATAAACAACGGAGGAAATCCAGTTTTTGATTTGTTTGGAAATGTTATAGGTATTCAGGGAAAAGCGTGCTTTTCTTTTTATTTTTATGTGAATTTTAAACACAATTCATTCACTTGATATTGATATTTTCCATTGTCATTCGTTACAACTTATCGATATCTTAAATTGTTTTGTTAAAAAAATAATAGTAATTTGATTTCAAGAAAAAACATTAATATTCTTAATTTTCCATATTATTTAACGAAGTAGACTGGAGAGAAAAATTTGAAATTAAGTACTTTAATTAATGATGGCCAAAAAGACTAGTTGGCATAATTTTCTTTATTGCTTTACAGGATAGAGTCAAACAAGTCAAACAACGATTAACCAAGAGAACGAACCATACTTGCTGTCGTTTAATGTACAACTACTTTAAAAGAATAAAACTGTTTTGCAAAGCAATACTAAAGTATGACTATCATTTTTTTATGGATGAGTTTTTTTGTTTTATTTTCAAGAATGTTTTGTATTCATAAACAAGTCATGTGTTTGCATTTGATTATCAATCTAAATCATCCCTATTTGTTCAAAACCCAAAACTGATTAACGAAAACATCATTGATACATAGTAAAAAAAATGTCTTCGTGGTTTTAAATAACTCGCCATTTTTAAGATTGATCACCAAGAAATACTGCCAATGATGGCCAATTAAAAGACAATGTAGGTCAAAAAAAAAACCAAGCTGTTAAGACATTTTAACAATCATTCTTTACATAAAAGTTATATTATTTATGGAGACAAATAGAAATAACTAACAGTATTCAGGCTCGAAGTTCACTCAAACAATGCAAATCAGGAACAGCGCAAACACGGACCTCTAAAACATCAGAGGCGTGATCAGATGCCTTTGAGAGGTTATCATCCCCTGCCGACCGGGCACAACATTGTCATGATGGAAGTTCCATCGACAATTAAATGTGAAAATAATGACTTACAATTAATATGAAAATCATCGAAGTCAATCAGCATTTGACTTATAATAAATTGTGTTTGCTGAAAAGACCATTGTACCGACCATAGAACTGACGAAATGATTACTTTAAACGAGACTGCTGGTATTCTTATTTCACGAACTTGTTTGTTAGTAACTGACCTCGTTTATAAACTGATCATACGAAAAGCATGTCCCTGCGTATCAAATCAACTGAGAGAAATACCGGGTATAATTCAAAGGTATATTAATGCATTAGTAACGGAAGTTGACGATCGAAAATCTTAAGTCTCACATTTATCATCAACCTTGTTTTAGATTACTCTTAACGTCTAACTATAGTAAAATTTCCAGAAGTGAAATAGTTGTGTCAGACTCGGTGATATCTCTTATTTCAATTTTATTGGGGTGAACTGTATGGAGATAAAGAACAGTATTCAAGCTCAAAAGCTCATTTAAACAATACAAAATAGGAGCAGAGCAAACGCGAACCTCCGTAACATCAGAGGTGGGATCAGATACCATGGAGGAGTGAGCATCCCCTGCCGACCGGTCACACCTGCCATCTGCTCCTTGTCATAATCGGAAAAAACAACGGAAAACTCCGTCCTCAATTCAGTGTGTAAATAATGGACTTTCAATTGGTATGAAAAACGTCAATCAGCATTTGACTCAATGATAAATTTGTAATTTACGAAATAATGACTTTAAACGAGACTGCTGATATCTTTGTTTCACCAAATTGTTTGTCAATAATTTACGTCGTTTTAGAAATTGTTTATACGTAATGCATGCTCTTGCGTATCCAATCAATTAAGATAATATTATATAAACCCCTTACTTATGTAGTATTATACCTTGATCACCTGCATACGGAGTTTATATAACTCAGTTGATTCGATATGCAAGAACATGCTCTACGTATGAACAATTTCTAAAACGAGGGAAATTATTGACAAACAAGTTGATGAAACAAGAATTTCGGCAGTCTCGTTTAAAGTCATCATTTCATAAGTTCTATGGTTGATACAATGATCTTGTCAGCAAATACTATTTATCATTGAGTCAAATGCTGACTGACGTTTTTCATACTAATTGTTAGTCAATTATTTATACACTGAATTGAAGACTGATTTTTCCGTTATTTTTCGATCCTGACAAGGAGCACATGTTGGGAGTGACCGATTGGCAGGGGGTGCTGACTCCTCCATGGCACCTGATCCCACCTCTGATGTTTGGAGGTCCGTGTTTGCTCTGCTCTTATATTGTATTGTTTTATAGACTTTTGATCTTGAAAACTGTTCGTTATATCATATGTCTGTAATAAATATATTTTCTTACTTTTGTAATACCTTCTGGCATACATGTATACCTGGTATACTAAACTGCGTATGTAGAAAGCTATCTTATTCTGGCATTTCTATCAAATTTTGTGTTTTGATTAATACTTGTAAAAGTTTAAAAATAATAAATAACCTTGTAACATAATGTAGTAGTCTTTCTCTTTGAAAATGTTTTTTCCTCAGGAAGTGTAGATTCATATTTGTTCAAATCATGACCCCCGGGTGTAGGGTGGGGCCAAAATGGCCGATCAAAGTTTTATATAGGAATATATAGAAAAAATCTTTAAAATCTTCTTCTCAAGAACCACTGGGCCAGGAAAGATGAAACTCAGGTGGAATCATCCTCATGTAGTGTAGATTTAAGTTTGTTCAAATTATGACCCCCAGGGTTAGGGTGGGGCAGTTAATGGCCGATCAAAGTTTTACATAGGTAAATGTAGGGAAACCTTTTAAAATCTTCTTTTCAAGTACTTCAAAGCCATGATTAGTAATATTAATATGAAATCATCCTCAGTAATGTAGATTCTAGTTCGCTCAAATCATGATCCCCTAGGGGCTTAAAATTCAAGCCCCCCCCCCCCAAAAAAAAAAAAAAAAAAAAAAAAAAAACCACAGTAAACTTTCAGTTCTGATCTGATATGTGCTCTTTCCTAGCCGATGTGCTCAGGTGAGCGCTGTGGCCCCTGGGCCTCTTGTTTATATATCAGATACACAGGACATTACATCGTAATTGATCGGTTTTGAGGAAAGAAAATCATATTTTAGATTTGTTATTCCCAAAAGACGTCGCTGCAGTCTGTCCTTAAAATAAAATCGAACGAACTAAGTCATTGGTCCCACGGTAGCGTGTTGACTTATGATCTCTGACAATGTACACATTTTGAAGAGGTGGTAGGTTACATAAACATGAAGATCGCGGTTGACTGTTTTAAGTCTTTAATTTCCAAAAGGAAATTAACCTCTAATTAATTAAATCCTATTGAATCATTCGTATATTATTGAAATATATTATTTTTAATAGCATTAGTTCCATTATGCATTAATTTAAATTCCTTAGAATGATGAGGTTATAAAATACACACAGAACTCAATTTATTTACAGGACAAAACAATGAACCCTTCTTTTAGAGTTTCCTTTCTCTGAGAAGATCAAAGGTTAACACACAGAAGGTAAAGTCTGATGAAGAATTAATAAGTCTATTAATCTTTTTTAAATTCTTTGTATTTCATATATAATACTAAGAACTGGTGCACTTATGGGCAACTGTAAAATGTGAAAAAATAAAGAATCAAATAAAGCAAATTTTTTCATCTCAAATCATTAATTGATATCTAAACCATACAATTCCACAAATTTTACCACTGAAATTCATGAATATACAAAGAGTAAAGCCATACAATGTGGTACGTATGTGATTTTCTACAGTGAGTTTTACCCAAGTAAACATTCCAATCGCATCATATCGGGTCTTTCCGTCAGAGGTCGGAAAAACGACCTCGAATGTATTAACATCACCGGACGTTAAAAATTTATACATTTCCTGTTTATTCAAATACAGGATAGACTGATTTAGAAGTCCCTTCTGTGGTATATTTTATGTACTGTCATTACATTAAATAAAGTTAAACTCCATATTCAACAGATAAAAGGTTTTCATGCATTTATTTCAAAGACCGTGAATAGGGGATGGGGATGTCATGGCGATTTCGAGGTCGTTTTTTCCGATTGGTCAACATTCATCAAAGGTGTTCACTGTATAGCCAGACTTTGAAGTCGTGCCGCTTAAAGATGTTTGTATGTATTTGGTTTTAGAAACAGTAGAGGGTAAAGAAGGTTTAGTGCCTTCATAAAAGTGTCAACATTTTTATCATTCATGCAAGACAATGAGACAGGTATTGAAGTCCACCTAAATATTATACTATAGTAGTTTACAGCTAACTGTAAAGTTTCACGTTACGTCACGATCTAGTTGACAGCTGCGCTAAAGGTAAATTGTATACGTCTCCTAACCGGAAGCTTTACGACTGGAACTTTAATCTATCTCTGATTGGTTGCTCGTGCAACAAACTATTTCCGTGTCAATGTTGATGATTTGAGTTGATCAATCACGTGAATTGTTTACGCTGGATGTATCTGACGAAAAAGATCGTGACGTAACGTGAAACAATTAGCTGCAAACTCTAATACTCTTTTTTAATTTCAAAATTAAAAGAAACTAATATCAATGCTTATTGTATTTTTTTTCAAATGCAAGCGTGCAATTTTCTTAGTTTGATCACTATGGCTTCAGGCATCTGCACAACCTCATTCGATTTTTTAAACATATAAAACAGCGGAGGAAGTATCATTCGGCAAACGCTCCAGTCGATGATCCGCCATCAGATTGTTCAAGTGTCGATTTCAGCATTTGACTCAATGATAAATTGTATTTGCTGACAAGGTCATTGTATGGACCATAGAACTTACGAGATGGTGACTTTAAACGACACTGCTGATCTTCATGTTTCTTCAATTTGTTTGTCAATAATTTTCCTTGTTTCAGAAATTGTTTATACGTAGAGCATGCTCTTGCATATCGAATCAACTGATATATATATATACTTCGTGTGTAGGTTTAGGTATATTTAGAGCTGAATATTTTCTCCTTTATTTCTAAGAAATATTGCGTTTATCACTGCATGAACTACAGTCGGCATGTCGCTTGTACAGATTTCTTGATCAGTGGCTGTTCCATCAATGAAACGTATAATGACATTCGCATCATTAATACAATAATTAATCTTTTTAATCCTTCTTTAAATAATTATTTAAAAAGATATAAATATAAACCATAAAATGTCTTTCTTTGTTTGTTAATACTATTCTATTGCAGAAAAATTTACATAACCCGCTTACGCGGGTTATGTAATGCAACAGCTGCTTCCGTTCATTCCAGTAACAACAAACAAAGAAAGCATTTTATTGTTTAAATATTACATACGTTAGGGAAGTTGACGATAGAAAAGTTAAAGTCATCACGTTTATCATATAGCTTTGTTGTAAGATTTACATTAACGTCTTTTTCAAGTAAAATTTCCAACTATGAAACAGATGTGTCAGATTCTGTGGCATCTTTTATCTCAAGCTCACCAGG